GGATTCGAACATTGCATGCTTTCACCTCAAAACAGAAAGTACTTTTCCGAAATAAATATAACGGATATATAACAAGAAAGATGTGTGTTTTCAACATTGAAACACCCTGTTTCCCTATGTCCACCAGGGGACCCAATTGGGTATTCTCGCAAATTCTCAAATACATACTGGAAGGAAGTTGGTAATTCGGATTTTGCATATATTCCTCTATTCCTCTAGAAACAGATTTTTTTCTAAAACATATGTTAAATTATGATTATATAACATAAAATGTGCTCTCTGTAATATGATAACACCGCCTTCACCATAAATCAACCAGGAAACTCCATTGGTTATCTATCATGCAAGGTATTGGTTATTCGGATATTGTATTTATTCCTCTGAAAACAGAAACTATTGTTTTATGAAACAAATATCACGGTAAAATACTAAGATATGTGTTTTCTTTTATAATATGGTACATGTAACATTCCTTTCATCAGAAAGCTCATAACTAAGCTGTTGAATTTATCATAAACGTGACAGACTTAAGATTATGTTGTTTTGCAGTTACGGCGAATAAATACTGTTAAATAGTATGTTGTGCATATTGTGACTTTTATTTGGTAAATAACATGAAAGAGTTGTTTGCATTATGTAAATAACTTTTCTTGTTCACTTTAAAATATTTTACCTTTAATTTACATTGCATTTTCAAAATTTGCCTGAAAATTAGCATGAGTCTGGAGTATGCTGCTTTAACTTTATGTTTCACCTAATTTTCGCGAACAGAAATTTATTTAACTTGTGCAACTTGATTTAATGTATCATTAACAACAAGTATTTGTTTCAACTTACTTATTGTCAATGTTTAAACTTCGGCTCTATTTAACAGAACAAGGACTTTTCGGTATGGGCTTTTTAATTTCTTGTCAACAATCTTACTTATTTTCTTTTTACTGCTCAATTGTGTAAAGTCCTTTATCATAACCCCTCGAGCAAGAATAAAACACATTAGACCTTTACGCTATATTTACTATTTTGGTGCCAAAATTCAATAGCATAATTACTCCATTTCTTGATCACTAATGTGATAATGTATATAGGATATTCCAAAATAATATAAATCAGAGCGGACGCTGTGTTGCAGTGGTAACACTCTCTGACTACAAATCTAGGGGTTGCAAGTTCGATCCCCCGCTACTCCACTAAATTTACTTACAATCTTTAGGACTCTGACTCACAGGACACTACTCACAGACTGACCTGACTCACAAAGGACACTACTCACAAAATGACCTGACATACACAGAACACTACTCACACACTGACCTGACAAACACAGTACACTACTCACACACTAACCTGATAAACAGGACACTATTCACATAATACCTGATACACAGGGCACTACTAACACTCTGACATGGTACACACAGGACACTACTCGCATACTGAACTGCACTACTCACACATTGACCTGATATACACAGTACACTGACATGACTCACAGGATACTACTCATACACTAACTTGACTCAAAGGACACTACTCACACACTGACCTGATACATAAAGTCAACTACTCAGACATTTACCTGACTCACAAAGATACCTGATACTCAGATACTGACTTGAATCACAGGCCACTACTCACACAGTGACTTGACTCACGGGACACTACTCACACACTGCTATGACACACATAACACTACTCACACACTGATCTCACTCACAAAGGACACTACTCACATACTGACTTGATTCACAGGGCACTACTCACACACTGACTATGACTAACAGGTCACTACTCATACATTGACCGAACACACAGGCCACTACTCACACACTGACTTGACTCACAGGGCACTACTCACACGCACTGACCTAACACATAGGGCACTACTCAAACACTGACCTAACATATAGGGCACTACTTACACACTGGCCTAACACACAGGACCCTAATCACACACTGAATTGACTCGCAGGGCATTACTCACACACACACACCTCTCACACAGGGCATTTCTCACACACTGACTTAACTCACAGGTCACTTCTCACATACTGACCTAACACACAGGACACTACTCACACACTGACCTGACACACAGGACACTACCCACACACTGACCTGACAAACAGGACACTACTCACAGACTAACATAGGACCGTACACATTAAATGACCGGACACACACACACGCACGCACGCACGCACCAACACACACACACACACACACACACACACACACACACACACACGCACGCACGCACACACACACACACACACACACACACACACACACACACACACACACAGAACACTACTCCCATACTGACTTGATTCACAAAGGACGCTACTCACACACTTATCAGACTCATAGACTGACCTACCTGAAACGACGCTATTCACGCATAAGACATAACTCATAAGACACTTCTCAAACACTGACCTGACTCACACACTGACACTAGACAATGCGGTAGTACACAGAGCATCGCCATTGTCCTCATCAGTACATCATCACCATAACTGATGGTTTGATTTTGCCGAAGATGAACGTGATTCATGTTGTAGTGATGTTATGGATGTTGATAATAATAATAATAGTAATGATGTTGATGATGATGATGTTGATAACGATGTTGGAGTTGATCATGGTTTTGATAAATGAAGACATGACAATTCTGATGATGATTGCCGTGATGATGATATCAATAATGATGATGATTGAGATGATTATAATTTTGATGATGATTGGCGTGATAGTGTTTTAATAATGATGAGGATGATTTTGATGATTATTGTAAATTTGAAAATTATGATTTTGATGATGATGGGGAAAAGGTGAGGACGATAGTATAATGATTTTAATGCTGATGATTTTGATGATGATGGACTTAATGGTGAGTTTAACGATGATAATGTTGATGTTAATGAAAATGAAGGTGATGATTTTTATGACTTTGATGGTGATAATTATAATGATGTAAGTTGACATTTTCATGGTGACGACATGGTTCATTTATAGCCAACTTCATGAAGGGAAGCTTTATGCGTTACGCCAGGCATCACTTTTAAATTCAATACATGCTGTTGACAAATAAACCTCCCGTGTGCTTTATTATTGTGTATTTAACGAATATAATTCTCGGTTAGTTCAACGGATAAAGCTTTTTTCGGAGAGCTATATTTGTCGAGAGCTACATAGTTCTTATATATCAGCTAATTGTAATCCGGGGTGCAAAATCATTGTCGCGATGTCACTTCGCGTTGTTTTGTGTCGACCCTTGCAAATGCGACGGCGACATTATTAAACGAGACGCGACAATCTCAAACGACGCTCGACAAAGCTAATCGACATTGTTCTTATGTCATATCGTATGTCGCGTGTCGCGGTTTTGGTTGAGGGTCGACGCGCGACAATTTCAAACGACATGTGACAATCCAATTTTCGGCTGCATCCGCCATCTTGTTTGTTCGGGTAGCGAACTGCGCGATTCTCCCCCTTGATGTTGTATATACAAGCGGTACTTGGCTGTGATATCATAAATCACCAGGATGCATATTTTAGAGTTATAACATTACATCAGATTACGTCACTTTTGTTAGTTCTCAAAATATTTCTGGTCCAAATTTGGTTAATGATCATCCTAGCAACTTTATTGGTCACTCCTTACTGATTTGATAGTCAAAAATATGTAAAATTTTAATTCAGTTAATAGCGAATTTTTGTCTATGTGTTTCACAACTTTTTTGTGATTTTCTTTTGAATATTTGTGTATGAGTAGAGTATGAATAAAATGAAAAATATCAGTTGAAAATATCACTTTACCAGCTTAAATATATTGGGGTGATTGCATGAGAGTGCCTTTTTTGCCGACACAAATAGTATACAGTCATGTACATTCAAAAGAATTTTTACTTTTATGCCTGAACATTTTTTTTTTTAAAATTACATAGTTTTATATTATTGTTTTCCTTTGTCTTAGTAATGCTTAAATCAAATTAATTTTTAATCAACCAGTATCTTGCAATTAATTATTACGCAGCCGTTTTTCGAAAAATCAGAATACTTATGTATTGTATATTAGCAGAGACATAGGTACACTATCTACATCTCTGGTATTAGCAAATTAGTACGATTTAACTGCATAGTAAAACAAGGTGCGACAATTTGCATTTTGAATCAAACGAAAATGGTAACCATGATCAGTTACCCAGCCGTATGGTCTAGTATTAAAACAAATCGTTAACCTTATTATAGTAAATATTTGTATTCATTTGACCATCCTTTTATGTAATATCTTATTCAATTACACACAACTTTGGCAATTTCAGTCTGCCAACCTTACAAAAGAAAGAATTAAGATCTTTCCTCAACTAATGTACTTAATCGTATCGGCATTGTCCACCGTATCCCCCAATGACATCATCCAAGGGCGACAACTTGAATACGGTCTTAAATGGAAGGGGTCTTATACGCGTCGACTTAAATTTACCTAAAGAAGTTCTGGAAACGAACTATCTTCATTCATGATAGTTCTTTTACTATCAAATTTAATTAAATTTAGGATACTTAAGTTTTGTTTAACCATATTCCTTCTCCTACACATTATAAGTTCTATTTTACCATGTTGCAGGCATTATTATTATTATTATTATTATTAAGAGGGGCTTGAAATTGAGTTTAATAGTTATTGACATAGCTACGCGCCATATACATATATTTTATACCTCTGGGTCGATCGATCATATAGCAATATTGATTTAGTTTCATATAACAAAACTGTCTTGTATAATTTGTATAAATTCTGTCTTGTATAAACCGTATGCAAATATTTATATAAATTAATTATGTATAAATATTATGCATGGGTAATTTTAAAACGGACATTTCAAAATTGTTAATACTAGTCCTAAAAATAGACTGACCTAATTTACTTATCGGCGTGTTACTAGTTATAGGTATTATTAACCGCTCCGCTACAACTGATGAAATAAAGGTAGAGTATTTCTACTACCTTTAAAAATAGTAAATATATACGTGTCCTCTAACGACTGGATTATGCTATATTGTCGGTGTACATAAATTTATTTAAAGTTCTTCAATAGCTCCAAATTAATGTAATACGCTACAACAGGAAATATATAAATAGTAATACACATACACATAACAAACCTCAATAGAAGTCAATATAGATAATATTATACCAATTGGAATATCAAATATTTACAAAGCTATAGAATCTGAAAATGAATGTGATATTAAACCACAAGAAGAAAGTACTGGCGCTCGGTGTTACGATAGTAGGGGCAAGATACTTGTGTTCCAGATCAACAAGGTAAGATATATTTTGTTTCCAGGTTCCCGTATTCTTACCCGTATATTAATGATATACGGAATTCCGTACACTTCCGTATATCCATATTTTTTCGCAGTGATACTTGTGTTCCAGATTAACAAGGTAAGATCTATTTTGTTTCTAAACTGATATTGAAATTATCTGTTTCACTCGGTGTTACGATAGTAAGGGCAATATACTTGTGTTCCAGATCAACAAGGTAAGATATTTTTTGTTTCGGGAAGTATTGTACATACACATTGGCTACTCATACAAGACCAATAAGTGACGGCAAGATTCAACCCAGTGGGCCTGTTAATGGGAGATATACTGTTAAACGTGACTTACTAGCTGATAAGCCTTTAATTAAATCCAGCAAGTCTCTGTGGCAAATGCGTAGGACTATACTCTTTACATCAATTGTGCCTGGACGGACTGGATCGGGTTAAAAGCAAATAGGTGATGAGTCCAGTCACGTACCTTAATTGACAGTGTCACATGATGGTCCTTTGTCAAGTGCATAATTAAATATTTACATAGTCGCACTTAAAGTTTCTTAAACGTAAACATCCGATAATAAATAATGTTAAAGTTAAATTTTACAGTAGTACACCTAAATTAACAAATACAATCTAGACGAGTTTTTAAACCTGAGATCGTTAGATATATATCTATTAACGCATCAATGAATACGTATGTTTTGACTTTGTCAATTTATATGTTATTGAAATTAATTTTGTTGATTTGTTGACGAATGGCTGTCCAAGTTAAACAAGGTGCACTTTCAATTTAGAATATTTAGATTATAAATTCATATAATTAGAGCATAACATCAAATATTCTAGTATATAATGCATTTTTACCTCGGATAAATTATCCTATAAAGTCTAGAAAAAATGAATTTGATGTTGAAAAATGAATGAAAAGAATATAATAATTTTATAATCTCAACTGTTTTATTTCACAGGAAATGTGGTGTTGACTTTCCTCGTGATACGGTTATTCTTCACACATGGCCACGAATGAAATTTATACCGCAGATGGACCCTTTCTCTTTGAAGGTAGAAACGTATCTGAGAGCTAATGACATCCCGTACAAGGTATTAAGTTATACTCTTTTAGAATTATGTGGGAAAGTATCAAGTTTACAAGACCATTTGCTCATGTTCCACCAAAAATTATTTCCGATATTCATCATATTATAAGCTTGATAGTAAATAATTTTGACATATCATTTTTTGAAGTTCAAGTTCATAAGCTGAAGGAGAATGTTTTCCTCTAATGATTAGAAACACACAATTGATTTAATACGATTTTCCAAAAGACTTGCTTATCTAACTGTACTGGAATAAAATCGGTTCCTTTATTCCAGCTGGACGAAGAGTCTAAAAATGGTCCCAAAGGTGATTCCTGTATACCATGGATAGAATATAATGATAAAAGACTGGCAGACCATGACGTGATAACAAAATATCTATCGAGTACTCTAAATAAAGATATGAATGAACATCTGTCTATGGTTGAGAAAGAAAAGGCCACAGAGATTCAGAAATGGCTGGAGAACCGCACCTATTGGTAAGTTTCAATCAAACCGAGTCTGCAATTCTCTTGTAATTTTGTTGTGATTAATGCTTCCGAGGGATCACTTTGTTTCCAGATTTTTTTTTTTCTATTAAATTAAATCGAAATTTATCTTTTTAAGTTTATATGTTTCCCCTTGAGAATAAGGGGTTGCAGCCACCCTGCGCGATCTTCCGAGGCGACTAAATGGATTCAAATTACTGGAGTGCTTGTTTTGACCCCTGGTGTTGCTTTAAGTCTATGACACCCGAGGTTAGCCAACATCATCCCTCCTGTTTCTGTGCCATATGCCCTTAATTATTTTTCGTCATCTTAGAGCAGTAACGGGTTAACTTCTATCAAATTATATTAGAAATTAACCCGTTATTGCATTAAGGTGACGATTTAGCTTTCATAGCATGAGATAAGTATACATGTTATTCAAGGTGCTAACGTTTGGACGACTGTGTACAAATATATGAAAAAATATCACCAAGGAAGGGCGGAATTCAATAAACGCATTCCCCAACAGAACCCAGCAAAACAGGACCACTGGCAATAAAGATCATACATAATGTTACGTTACTGACAAGGGTATTACTGTAGACTTACATTTTTCGTTTCAGGGTGACATATCACACACGTTGGTATGTTTACTGGGACGATATGCTGGTCAACTTGTTTGAATGTCCAACATATGTCAACAACTTAATAAGAAGACCAGCTAGGCTGTATCAGAAGATAATAACTAAGAAACATGGAATTGATGGTAAAAGTGACGACGAAGTGAACGCTATGTTGGTAGAAGATCTTAGAAAGTTTTCTGATATTCTCGGTGAGCTAATTTTCAAGTTATTCTGTTTTGTTATAGAAAATATATATCGTTAGCAATGATTATAGTTCACTGTGATAATATATATCGTTAGCAATGATTAAAGTTCGCTGTGATAATAAATAGCGTTAGAATTAGTTAAAGTTCGCTGTGATAAAATACAGCGGTAGCAATGATTAAAGTTCGCTGTGATAATATATATCGTTAGCAATAATTAAAATTCGCTTTGATAAATGTAATGGAGAATGTATTCTGTGACACAAAACACTTTTCATACAATAATATTGCATTGGAGACGCGCATAAAATCATTCCGACTCTGAGGTGTCTTTTTATTCACCATTTACTTGTGAAGGATGACAAAAACCTAGCAAAACAACTTATATTTTACTTGAGATTAATACCGAATAAAATATAAAGTACAGTTTTTACATTATAACAGGTGAGAAAGATTTCGTCATGGGGAATCATATTAGCGAGGTAGATTGCATTGCTTTTTCAATCATTTCACAAATCCGATGGTGTTGCCCAAAGGAAAGCCCCGGACATCAACTTTTGACAGGTATAGTTTAATTGGATTTTGATTTATTCACAAAAGGAAAGCTCCGGACATCAACTTTTGACAGGTATAGTTCAATTGGATTTTGATTTATTCACAGACATCAACTTTTGACAGGTATAGTTTAATTGGATTTTGATATAGAATCGGGATTGATTCAGCAGCTCTGGATAATGTAAGGAAATACCGCGTTTACTTGTATATGAAATATCATTGGTCCTTGATACGCAGAAAAAATAAAAGATGATATTTTACATTTAAAAAACATGTAAAGAGTGTGAATGCATATAATGAAACGTTATGAATCTACTGATTTTAACGCGTCATGAACTTTTTATGCATAAAATTACGAGAACAGGTATTATATTACGATTGGTAGTACTGATATACTTTGATATACTATTAGTATATTGGTTATATGGCCCTATATACGGCTATTTGTACATTAAACCTGGTCAGCTAGGCGAGGGTTATATACGGCCATATAACATGTTAAGAATCTTTAATACACCAAATTTCCTTCTTTTAGAGAAAAAACATGGAAATTCTTCAAGTCTATTCATAATTTGACAGTAGCCGTTTATATATTTATTATGTAATACGTATAAATGTCACGGTTATCCAATGACAATCGACGTTACAAACGTACAGTTTCACATATGTTTTAATTTATGTTTTACAGGAGGAGAGATGCAGAATGTGATGGACTATCTGGACAGAATAAGAAACTTATATTGGTCAGATTGGGAGGAGCTTATGAAGTCTGCCAAGTGTAAATCTTGAAATAATTTCCCTTGAGTTATATGACATTATAAACAACAGATACCTCTGAATATGTTTGACGCAACATTTCATTATAAAATGTAATGTACTTCATTCAAGGATACAGAGATATTGAGTTATGAATGTTCTTTAACCAGTCTAGTGTGATATGTGTATACAGACTGGACAGCCATATTTAGATCTACGTGAGAGTTATCTATGTGATGCTAAAACTTTTATTAACAAGATCAAATCGTTTCCGGTCAAATTTCAACTTAATCTCTAAACGCGGGTACTTTTATATTGAGTTTATTCATAAAGAGGACCTTCAATAGCTCGACGCAATTGCAAGTTATAGGTTACTACAGCAATTCCATAAAAGGAATAGTTATCATTGATATGATTTCTGTCAAACAGATATTTTATAAGCATAGAAGAATGGCATTTCATCTACTTAATATATGAAATACTCATCATCTATATAATCTTGATCATTTTTGCTATATATTTTTGAATAAAATATTGTATTTGTTTCGACACATTCTTAAGTCAAGTGAAGTTTATAAATACACATTTGTACATATTTTATAACTTTTTTTAACCATGTTAAATATCTATATTTTTGTTATTTGATGCTTTTTATTATTTGTTTGCTACTAAAAAAGTAAATGGAGAAAATATGACTTATATGTTAATGCTTTTAATTTTGTACTTTATACGTATTTCCTTAACAATTGTCTAGTATAATAGAAATAAAATGACTATAATTATAGGCGGCAACATCAAAAGTAATACGGACTATGTCCAATAAATGCCGGTGCTAGTGGGCGGGACGGTAGTTTTGCCATTCCAGTGTTGTCCATGAATATACTCAACCACACTGAACATGCAACATTTTCAATTTTGCCGTTTTGATCATTGCCATATGAACTGCGGATGTTGCTTAATTCAATAATTTCACCATAGTTTTGTGTAAATATTGAACACTGGTTAAGTCGGTGCTAGGGAGCGTGAGCGATAGCTTGCACGTTCCATTTCTGTCCATGAATAGACTCGATTAAACCGTGAGTGCAACATTTTCAAATTTCGCGTTTTAAGTGTTCTTAGTTTTTACAAATTTATTTTAGATCGATTGTGTTGGAAGTTGTTAGCTTATTGAAACACTCTCGAATCTGTTCCTGGAACCAACCAGTACTAAGCAATGAATGTAAAGTTTCTTGCTCAAGGAAACAACGGCTTGCCCCTGACAGGGTTTGAACACATGCAATCAGCAATCCTTAGATACTAGTCCGGCGCGTTAACCACTCGGTTACTCCACCATTCTTAAGTGTTCTTAAGGTATTGAGTTTTTTTTATAGCCTATGAAGTTTACTATGTTTTAATCCTTCGATTTTTCTTTATTTTAATGTTTGACAAAATGATGTGTATGATGTTCACCTGACCTGAACTGTAATGACAATATGTTATAAAAACACGTAGTTTCCACTATGAATCAAATAGCAGACTGATTAATCTCTACAAATGATCGACGTTTAAAATGATACAACAATACCTGGTCAATAGCTACTGCAGGCCAAATACTGTAATAATGACATTTATCCCATGCAGTGGAAACTGAAAAAAGATAGGCAACGTATAGGAAAAACTAGGAATGATGGGGGCATTTTTTCATTGCAAATAAACGTTTCTTTTGGAATGGGAAAGTCAATTTAAATCGTTCGGATGGATACCAGTGTAATTGAGTATTAAGATTTGAATGTTTGTGTTTGATTGACGTAAAGCTGTATATGCTGTATAAGTTTATCATGATTTTAAGGAAGAGTTTCATTTCTAAAACTTATAATAAGCAAATCATTTATGCTTTCTTTAACATAAAATACTTGCCTAGATGTAGAATATGAAGATGTTAACAAGTATATTTAGCAGTCTCGAATTGAATTTTTGTCATAGTCTGGAATTATGTTTTGTACAAACGTACAAAATGGACAAAACTGAAATATAAATGTTCGTTTTTTTTATAAAGAATATTATATATTTCGATAGCTTAAAGACAAGATAATCGGCCCCATTCATGGATGCCCCGAGTCAGTGCTTTGGTCAACATTACCAAACTGTTATTGATAGATTTTCCTGCATTCAGTTTTGAATAGCCCGTCAGAAATTAAAGACTTAAATATATTATGTACTTGTGGCAAATGCTAATCGGCTTTCGTTTAAGGGTAAATTCAAACCATGTCTGCAGTTTTCATGTAATTTTGTTGTGAATTATGCTTCCTAGGAATCACCTTTATTCCAGTTTTTTTATTAACGCTCTGTAAACAAAAGACTCGGTTACAACACTTCTAGATATAAGTAATTGTTTTAGCCATTTAGTATAGGTTAGTGTTTAATAATATGTATTAACAAAAATAATTGGCCAAGCCTGCCGCAGGCAGGCGACCAATTATTTTTGTTAATGCATATTATTAAACATTAACCTATTTAATGATCAACATTATTTTTTTCACAAAAAACAAAGGCATTTCTCAAAATCACTGATAGCTCCGCCCTTTCGCTCTACAAAATGTCTACACTTGTCAAGTTTCTAACATTTCACATTTAGATAAGCTAAATAAATGGCACCTTTTTCACATATAATCAAAGGACATTTTTACTGAAATGTCACAGAATTTTATACTTTATCTACAGTAATTACATGTAGGTAAAAACATGGAGTTAATGAAATATGTACATCTTTAAAATAAATGGAAAAATGTGAGAAAAATAACATTAGAGATTAATTTTATTTGTAAAACAGTTTACAGATGGAGGGGGTCAAGTTTACAAATGAGTTTTCAGCCAAAGAATGTAATCATTGTATTCTTAATAAATCATTGGATTGTTAATGGCAGTTCATTCCTATCAAGTGAAAGAAAATAATTTTTTGGTTACTTTTTCTAGAAAATATAAAGTTAAAACAGTCAGCAATTTATAACAGACATTTTTCTTAGAGTTAAAAGGATATAAATAAGTTACTATGTAATCATTTGTCTCTGCGTGCCCCACATGTATTATCTATGTAATAAATCATTTGATTGTATCCTCACATTTAGAAAGCCTAATTATTTTTACATTGGAATTGTTTTGCTAACCTTTATATTTTCCAATTCAGAGTGCAAACCACACCTCTAACTCCTCCCTAATATAATGCATTACTGAAATTGGTTAGACTGGTTAGACGACGGATTAAGTAAATTTTATTTAGTTAGTACACATTAACCAAAGTTAGACTAAGCAGAAATTTGAAAAATACTACAATGTGATTGGACAAAAAATAATGTTGATCATTAAAATACAACAATTAGAACAACAATGACTAATAATACAAATGTAAAATATTTTATTTTAGACAATACAACACGTTTATTAACAGCTTTATATTGTATATTAAATTTGAAAGTTAAAAGTACTTGATGTTTAAGTAAAGAATATGTTTGATTATTGTTTATAAAGTAAAGAGAGCAGTGCAATAACAATATATAAATGTAAATCAAAATATTCATAACACTAGAATTTTTATGAAATTTTATCAAATAACCCTTATACATATCTCGTATCTATAATTTTATTTATGTAAGTAGATATGCCTGCACGGACAAACAAAAATTTAACACTTTGATTCTGCACATATTTTCTCCCAGTCTGGCCAGTAGACATCCTTGATTCTGTCAAGATAGTCCATCACGTTCTGTTGTTTTCCACCTGTAAATGTAATTAAAAACTAAATCTATTGCTTGTTAGGTGATAAAGTTTTTCACAATTTGTGGTAATATTCTTATGACCCAACCTTTGATATTTTTTTACAGTACATATATTATATAATTTTAAATACAGTTTTCAGAAACCTTTGCTTGATTTGCATATAATTTTGTTTTAAATTGATAATTTTCATATCAAGATTGCTTTATATGTTTTTCCGTCATTTAAATTAGTATTCAATGGCCAATTCAATTTCAAAGTGAAGTAGTATTCTTGAAAATTATCAAACAAAGAAACCTTTAATCCGGCAAAAATACAACAAATTGAAACTTTGATATACAGATTAATCACGGGCTTGTAACGATGTAAAATGATGTTTTATATACAAGCATGTACAGCGACTAAAAGTTTTCACGGTGCATCCCTTTTATTGTTTTTGTATGAAAGAAACATTATTTATTAGATTCAGCACTGTTGTAAACGGACTTCGACTAAATCATGTAAACAAATCCGCTTTCTGAATCATATTTTGCCATATATTTATGTAGGTAAATTTCGTATCCTCGAGTGTAATTTTAACATCAATATGATTGTTTATATTATACTGAATGATTATTTAATACAATTACAACTTACATTTCTCTTGATAAAATATACAATACATATTTACTTATGTTTACATGAAAATGTTACCGCCAACAGACAGCTCAGATGGAAATCTTAAAATTAATATTCAAATACCTGACAATATCATTCTAAAGGTTATTACCTGTCAATAATTGATGTCCAGGGCATGACTTTGGTGTACACCATCTTATTTGTGAAAGTATTCCAAAAGCAGCACAATCAACTTCGCTTATTTTGTTACCCATAATAAACTTCTTATCGCCTATAAAGCGAGATAAACATTCTTTTTGTTATTATAAAAATATATAATAACTTTATTTACCAAAGATAACAAACGCATAAGTGTCATGAAACACTATAATAATACTAGTATGAGTAATTATAATTCTGTCAGTACAAAATGTGTTAAAAATATAACTCAATATGCAAAGAGCATAACATTCATGAAAATGAAAAGTCTTACAGACAAAAACACTGGAAACAAATCTCTTAGCATATCACAGCTGCAATATACATACAAAGAGAAACAGTTGTACTGCTTGCAGAATTGGAAATTGTTGCATATAATGTACTTATCAAGTAAATTTGACACATATATATTTATCGAAAATCAAACAAAAAACTAAGAGGGCTAAAAATTTATACATATGTATTGATTAAAAGAATTGTATGATAGCCAAACATACCAAAGGGGTTTAAACAAACTGTTTAGATCTTTAATTATCTTTCATTTACTTTCCCCACAGTATGGGTTTTCCCAAAGCTACAGCTTTTGTTGTTTCTTTTGCCCCCATCTTGCAGGGGAAATTTGTATCAAATTTATTTAAACGCTGGAAAATTCCCAAACATGTTGACAACCAGATCGTCCCAATACATGTACCATCGGGAATGGTAGTTTAACCTTAAAAAACAATCTTATTGTTCAAATGGAAATAGTATAAGGGTTTTTGTCTCAAAATACATTTTTTACGAAATAAAAAGATGCTATTATTCCAATTAAAAATGTGCATTTAATGAAAGAAGCAAAGTTTTTCTTTGCACGAGCTCAGTTAGTTCTTCTTTACTTCTTTATCTTTTAACTGAAGTACTGCATCTTAGTTAAATTTCGAACCATGGCTAAAAAACTAATGTTCATTTTGTTGGTTTCATTGAATTAAGTAATTGTTCAAGCATTTAGGGATCACAGACAACGCCCAATTTGTGTATTTAGTTTTAATTATTTGCTCATATTTTTTTTTATTTGCGGTGTATGATGTACAGTAATTAGTAATTATATAACACCTACCAATATGTGTATTCTTCTAACCATTTCTGTATGGCCCATGCTGTAGCCTTTTCCTCATCAGACAAATGTTCATTCAAATCAACTTTAAACATCTCATTTAAGCGCCGCATAATAACCCCCGAGTCCCCTATCTTTATACCATCAATATCTATCCACGGAACAGTATTCTTTGGTCCTTTACACCAATCTTTAGTATCCAGCTAAGAATGAATATAAATTTTTCTAATTATATCTATTATTAAATTAACTCTTTATAAGTTATAAAATACTGTCGCAATCAATAACTTGTACGTCGATGTAAGAAACACATGGACGTATCTTGTAAGTTTCTTTTCTTTTTTGGTCACTTTAAAATCAAACCAGTGTAATTACGTACGAAAAAAGATACTTAATATTTGATGTTTTAAGTACTCAAAACATTTGTACAATAAAGTATGAAAAGGTCAGCAATTTGATACATTTAATGGTGCTTTTGGAGGAAGCCTAATTATCCTCCATTTCACAGCCAATCTACATTCATGTTTTATAAGCAAATCACCGGTCTAATAGTTGGTAAAGCAAAAGTAAAACTGTTTATATGATTTAACATAATACGACGTATAATCACATACCCGTGCCACTTTTGCGACTCAATAAAAATTGAATTTCACGACCGTGCAAATATTTTGTCATGTCGTCATTTGCGTTATAGACGTAATAATGTTTGTGTCACATCATGAGCAAATCAATGAAAATTTGTTCTTGTTTACTGTCAACACCTTTTATTTTGTGGGTGCGATGAAAAGAAAGTTATATTCATGTACATGTAGATTCATCACTTAATTTATTGAACTCGTTGGATAAACTAATATTAAGTTCGGCAGACGCTCGCATAAAATATAATTTTATTCAACACGTTCATCACATTCAGTATTGACCCAACACTCATTCAATATATCCTATTCAGTTTTTGACTTACCTTATATGGAATTTTGCTGATCCTCATGTATGTTTCTAGCTTCATAGAAAATACGTCCACATTTGGAATAAGTTTAACACGTTGATAACTATGAAGAACCACGCGGTCTGTATTAATTTCCATTCCTGAACACCTATAATAAGAAAATATTTACAGTAATGAAGTGTGATGGATGTAGATTTATAGGAATTTGTACATGATGGTGTCTGTTATTTTAATTAAAAATAGCCTGTAAATAATGTCAATGCGAATTTTTACCTTGAAATGTCTATAATTTAAGCATAGGTTAAAGTTATGCCGCATACTACATCATAATACATTATAAATGGTTGAAGTAACAAACTTTCTCAGATTTATTACATATGCCACTTTATATTCGAGGAAATTTGCTCATCGTGTAAAGCGCAATACAGTATCATCGTCAAATAACTAGAAATATAGCGGTTGCTCACAGCAAGAAACATATGTCCTTTTGCAATTCTAACGTAACGTAACAATTTACGTAACCGTAAACAGCAAAAGTTTAGTAATGTTCGTCTGTTTGGTCTCGATGTATGGTATGAATTCCATTTAGCAATGGCCAAATATCAATCATTAAAAACTATTCGTTGAAAAGATATTATTGATATTTTTACCTATGTATATAATATTGTAAGCTGTTGGGACTACATGTACTTAAATGTTATAATCTCGTAAAGAAATATTTGGTTATTATTTTGCACGAGAAAATAAAGTGTTAATAATATCAGTATATCACTCGTCGAAAATATTGACAAAATATTAAATTATGCCTTTAGAATCATCTTTCTGACCAGTTTTTACGAGAAATGAAATTAATCTTTAACGTAATCAATTAAAATAAAGATACAACAAATATTGAGTGAGAAAGCAATTTATTTCGAATACAAATGATGCCTGACCGCCATGTTCATAATTAATACTGGTCGCTTTTAATAAAAAAATCAATAATAATGACAGGAAAGACATAACCCTCATCAGAAAAATATATGAAGACATTAAGTTGTAAAATCTAAAGCACTTACTGTTCGTCAAAATTCGTCTTGGCACACTTGCTATCACTGTATCCTAGATCTAACCCAGGGTAAAGGTGAGGTTTTTTCTCGTGTAGGGAAGACATCATCTTTTAATTATTATTTTGTATCCAAGTGTAATAAAACAAAATATATAACATATATTCTTTAAGGTAAAGTTGAATTACAATTTTTGATTTATATCCTTTGTGGTAATAGCAAGCCGTATATATAGAAAAACAACTCGTTGTGCTCTATCGGGCATGAAAAGCCACGTCTATGAATGAATACGTATATAGCAGTAATGTGCGCGTGACTGGGAAAAATTGTATTTCAAAATATTGGAAAAATATGTTGTACAAATTGTAATATGCTGGTTCTAATAATATTCTAGGGAGTGGAATCAGTTACGTAGAGAGAAATGAGAGTGTCATCATATGAAGGAACGTATAAAATAATTATTGTGATGAAACAGAAAATCATTAATGGTGCACTCCACTTTATGGAAAAGTAGGATTCTTTCTGATCGAAAAATAATGTTTGCAAACTTGATCCAAGGAATCACTTTGTTTCAAGATTTTTGTACTTCACAACAGCAAGTGTCAAATGCCGTGTGACAGCTGGAAAATGTTGCCCCGTACTTCACTGCAGTGTTGTTATTTTTTTTGTTCTTCGGGATCATTGATGCAAGCATTAAGTGTTGAGACTTGAATACCGCTCAAGCCGGGGCTAGTGGGCGTGTCGGATGCTGCACTTATTTATTATCCCTCATGTACAGACCCAATCAAAACGTGTCTGTTATCATGTTTTATGTAATTTTGTTTAAGTTAATGCTTCCAAGGGATCACTCTGTTTCCAGATATTTATATCAGTTAATAATGTCACCATTGAAATAAAGATATTTTATGATTATAACATATTATCTTTTGGAACTGTGTACACTTTATAAATACCAAATAAAATGAAATATTTAACAACAAAGACAAACAAAAAAGTTTAAATATGTTTGTACGAAGATTTCACATTCGTGACACAAATCTGTGTAAAGAAAACGACCACCTCTCTTGACATTAAATAAGGATTCGTTATCATCGGTTTACGAGCAAACACACACACTGATCTAGATCACTAAGTCCTGATGCAGCTTCAGAGGAAGTATCTATGGTTAATGTAGGTAGGTGTGTACTCAGATATGACACAAGCTTTGAAGCATATTTTCTATTCAACATTATAATCACTTTCGAGTACATATCATGGACTGACCATACATGTTATTGCTAATGAAGAATTGTGGGCCATTCTTTATCATTCAGTTTAAAACGGTTATTTCAGCACAAATTCGGAATTTCCGGTTGACTTCTGTGAGTCCGCAGAACAGGCAATGGTGACATGCTTAGAGGATCGGATTTTGTGTCCATTAATAGTTAGTGTCTGTCTGTCTGTCAGGAATACTGTGGTACGTTACGTTAATAATTAAGAAGCCTCCCTATGTCATAGGGGTGGTGTGGGGAATGAAATATCGTAGGATACTCATGTCAGAGGGGTTAGCGGTATATTTGGCTCAGGTGTAGGTGGCTGAATTTCTTTGCAGGCATTTTTAGCATTGCTCGACCTTTTATCTATATCTGACGTAATCTCCGGACAGATAAATTGCCCACGAACCCATTGCGTAGTTCTTTTCTTTTTACCAGAAGGGTCAGTGTACATTTTTGTCTAAAGAGTTTTAGATGATTTTTTTCCTTGTTACCAGACCATATATATTCAAATTTAACTTCATAATCAAAGGTGCTTATCGCATTGATTTGACATAAAATGTGTTCAATTTTGTTATTTCATCTCAGCATTTTATTACTTAATACACAATGTTATAAGAGCTAGTTAGAATTACTCAACGCAAAAATTATATCTTACAGCCTTCAACATTAAACGTATATTGACTTTTTCAGGAGAGCGAACAGAAAACATTATACATTTATTAAATTATTATAAGAATAATAGTAAAGCATTAAAAATAAGATATTGAGGGATTGCCTTGAAACTTTTAGGGGTTGTAAGGTGAGCAGCATCTCCCTTTTACCGCCCCGGCTATAATAATGCATTTATAGCATGATATTTTTAGCGTGGAAAATCCAAAAACTGTTTCTAATTATAGTCAAAATGAATCATGAATCGGGTGACATATTGGATTAACAAATTAGTCAACGCTGCTCTTCAGTGAAGAAGTGAACTTTTAGAGGAAACTATCGCTTGAAAAGCACGAATTTTTGTGAACAAAATATTGTGTTGGCTTTATTTTCTACGTCTTCAAGTGTAAAAATATGTTGAGAATGTGTTAACGGACTATACTCTAGTCTGAACACCTTAAATAGTTAAATGATCGGACTAGTGTAATACTTTTCAGGGAAGCAATAATGATAAAAGGAAATCATTGTTAGAAAAAGGTAAGTCAAAATATACTGACGTGCCAAAGCAAGATTCTGAGAAATTTTCGTTCTGGGTCATTATCTCGCTTAGGCAAGATATTGCCCGGACACAAAACAGCCCGATATCTCGTCGCGCGGTATAATTAGTTGGACTAGAAAAAGGTAGAATCTATTTTATCATACTTCTCATGGTATTTGATAGAACTTATAGAAACTGTTTAAAATGTATGTTTGTTACTTTGACAAATTCATCATACTATTAAACACGTATCATGTCATTGTTCATAACATTCTTATGTTAGCTTATGTATGAGTATCATGTTTTTGAAGTCTAAATATATTGTCATGCCAAAGCCAGATTCTGAGATACCGGTATGTTCCATCTGTGTCAAAATCTCGCTTTTACAAATTCGCAGTATTGAATTTTTTCACACAGTTGTAAGCTGATTTTAACCATTACGCTAATTGTAGCTGCAAGTGGAATTTTGAAATTTTCTGTGTCAGGCTTAAATTTGCCTACGAATGATTTATCAGATGTAAATATTATTTTACTAAAAGAAAATGTGTCTGCTATTGTTTAACCTTTAATATACTATGGCCAGATATATAAATCAATGTGTATTCTATTTTATCTTACACGTAATTCATTTGTCTATTTTTAGAAACGTTTCTTTAAATAGTGTATCGTGTGATATATTTAGCTCTTAAAACGTATAAAACAGTAATGTGCACGTGGCTGGGAAAAATGTATTTCAATATATTGGAAAGATATGTTATACAAATTGTCATATGCTTGCTCTAATAATATTCTTGGAATAGAATCGTTTAAGCATAGAAAAATAAAATTAAAGTGACATCAAATGATGGAACATATAACAATAATTACTATGATAATAATGGCGCACTCCAAATTACAGAAATGAAGGGTTCGTTATGATAGAAAAGTAATGTTTGTAAACTTCATATACTTTTACAAATGAAATAAAGATATATAATAATTGTGTAATGATATGTTTGGAACAGTGTTCACTTTCTAAATACAAAATAAAATGAACTATTTAACAAGAAAGACTACAAAGACTAACGAGAAAAAAAATAGATATGTTTGTACGAAGATTTTTAATTCGAGACTAGAAAAAGATCAAGCATCTTGACATTAGAATAGCATAAGTACTCGTTATCATCGGTTTACAAGCAAACAAACACAATGTCCTTAATCGCTACGTCCTGGTGCATTCCCATAAGTTTCATACATGGATGTTGTATACCTTGTCCAAAACAATATAACAAAACTATAAAAATATATTTTTTATAATATGGATATTACATTTCAGGAATAATAATAATTATATATTTTATGTCAAATCAATGCGATAAGCACCTTTGATTATGAAGTAAAATTTGAAGAGATTTGGGATTAATGAATACTATTTGGGTCAAATCAATGCAACCAGCACCTTTGTTCATAATTTGGTCTTCCTTTTTTATAGCTTGTGTATGTATGTCTCCTAGCTCAATACATTGGGTGCCCATCTATCTGCATTTATCAATAGTGTAATCTTCCCATTTGATTTTGTCTTTTCTCACACATCTGAATTTGAACCATTAGGGTGCCACGGTATACTTTTATTTTAACCATGTTCACAATTTTTAAACAAGGCATAATTTACATTTTAATTTTAGTATACTGGCATGAAATGGAAGAGAGCAGAGAAATTCAAAACGTAATATAATAGTGATTATACTAGTATGTCTGTATTTTTATAACATTTTGTGCAATTAAAAATACTGATTTTCTGAATTCTGAGCTAGTTATTGTTCGATATGAAACATCTTCAGTGCAGGAGCAGCATTATCTTTACTTAATATGCAATGTAATATAAGGTTAAATTATCAACGCAAAAATTGAATCTTACAGCCTTTAACATAAAGGGTATATTGACTTTTTGGTGCAGAGCGAACAGGAAAAATATGCATATATTAAATTATTATAAAAATAGTAGTGAAACATAAAAAATAAGGTATTGAGGGATTGCCTGGAAACTTTCAGGGGTTGTAAGTTGAGCAGCCTCCCCTCTTTAACCGCCCCGGCTAAAAATATGTTTTTTATAGCATGATATTTTTTGCGAGGGAAATCCAAAAACTGTTACTATTTATAGTCAAAAATGGGTTTCTGGTTTAAATCATGAATCAGGTGACATATTGGATTAACAAATGGACAACGCTGTTCTTCAGTGAAGAAGTGAATTTTTAGAGGAAAACTATCGCTTGAAAAACACGAATTTTTGTGAACAATATATTGTTTTGGCTTTATTTGTGTAAAAATATGTTGAGAATAGATTAACGGATTATACTCTAGTCTGAACACCTTAAATAGTTAAAGGATCGGACTATAGTCTGTCCCATTAAAAATGGAAATGAACTTTTGCCTGGTGTGAATTAACAAAATGAGATTGAATAAAAATTTTACTGTTTTTGTAAACTAAAAAAAAGTCACCCTCGAGATTTTTTAGGATTTTACTTTAAAGTGTCTGCTTTTCTTGTGAAAGCAAATTTTGATTTCTCTATGGAAAATCTCTGTTGTTTATTTTCCGTAGCCATTGCCGAAGTACTCTTCATTTGAAGATGAACGGGAGAAAGCACGTGCCATGTTTCTAAAATATACATGAGGTTCTCGGGGTCGTTTCATGATTATTTTACAAAGCTGGATCTACAAGATGTAACAGTTTAGTTGCAATGCATGATGGAAAACTTAAAAAAATGAAAAATAAGCAACAAGAACACTGCGTCACATGGATAAAAGATCTAGAAATTACACTTACTTTTAAGCTGAATAGAATTCCTATAAATTTCGGAATAGATCTTTATAAACGTCACTTCTGAAGATTCCTTCATTGCCTGTTTCTATCCAGTTCCGTAGATCCGATTTTTTCTACCTTGAAACTCCTAAATGACATGACTCAGGACTACACTTATGATGATCCAGATTTTTTTAACTGTTAATCCGTCTCAGTTCAATTTGTGGAGTTATCTGGGTTAGCAAATGAAATATGTAAATGAAACACATCATAATTCAGCATGTTCCAAATCCATAATTCAAGAACGGCCCATCAATTTTAGTTGTCAACATCACAATGCTTATAACTCTTGAAAATGGATTCCTGACGAAAAAAAACTTTATTACGTCAACAACAATATACGAAATATATGACGTAACAAAAATGCCTCGCGACTCCAGTTGCGGCATTGACAGAGAGCGGTTAGGCATATTTAACCTCAAACAGATAATTTTAAGCGTTGAGATGAATTTGTCTTCATGGCATTTAAAATAATTTTTGTATACCCAGATTTTGCAACTTAACTGTAAAAAATACACCTTCAATTCATATATTAATAATAAAACTTTTGATAACATTTAAATAATTTTAAACACACTTAATGACATGAATTTACAACAGTACAATACTTCTTCCATTAATTATGACATATAACATTCGTTTTGATTTTATGTTTTTAAACTATTTTACATATTTCTCAGAAATAATTTCCCTACATATTATCTCGTTTTTCATGACTTCTGTAAATCCTACTCTTTTAGCTACAAAATATACAATACGCCGTATTTTTCTCCCGCGAAAAATATGCTAGATCTATTGTATTTTCACTGAATATTTTTAAATTTTAGGAAGGCTAAAATTATTGAGAAAGTCACTCGGTGTTTCTCTTTGACTAGATCTCCCTTTCATATTAACATAATAATTATATGTAACACTTTGAGTCTAAAAACACACACTTATTGTCGCTTATTGAACACTCCAATTCAAACTTATTCTTAATAATATCAAATCACTGACATTTTGTTGATTTGTGAGACGGGAAGTTAAATTTGTATTACTATCTTAAAGTATATAGGCCTACGTTTGATTGCTCAAACTAGAAAGCAAGATATTATATATTCTTATAATTTACATTTTCCTCGAACGCGAGTCTGTGTTTTCTCGTTAGCGAGGGAGTTAGTTAAAGTAGACGCAAACCAAGTCTGAATGTATAGTGAATCAGTTTTCCTTTCTATATATTTCTTGTCATATTTGCATGATAATGTAGTATTTGTTGGCGATTTCTTGTGAAAGTTGAAACCTACGGAAAGTTTTAGCGCACGGACATCGCACCCGAAATAAGAAGGCTAACATATTCTTATATCCCATCGAACCTGGTCAATTTAATTATTTTTGAATAGAAGTGATACATACTAATGGACAGAATTCAGACAACTACAGAATTGTGTAAATTAAACATTAATAAGCGAAGAACCATTTTTTATAGTCTTCTAGCTGGGTCATGTGGGGGTTGCGTTCATTGAACGCCGCCTTTCTTTGTTGATCTTGTTTATCATGTTCTAGGTGTTTGTTTTCGCTCCCCTAGGACATGTTGCGGTAAGATACGCACTTTATTGGAAAGCTATCTAATCAAATCACTGCATTGTTCTTTTTATCTTTAAAAAATACGACAGTTTATCATGGTAATTAATTTAATCTTTGTGTGTTAGAATTTATAAAGCGGTCACCGATAATTTAGCTTTAAATGATTTTGATTATTTTAAATAATAGTTTGCTAGTAAAATTGCCTTTTTGACACCAACTTTGTTCTCATTTTTCATTTTAATGATAACATTTAGCTATTGATCAGTAAGTAAATAAGAATAATCAATACAGTTCACCGTAATTGTGAGACGAACCCTAAATAACGTCTATATGGGCGCCGCCATTTTGAAATGGACGTCACGTCAGGTTACAACGTAAGTCAACGGGGAAAAATATAATTTTAACATTTTGACCATATTACTGACTTTATGAAAAAAATGAAAAACATGCCTAGAGATATTGACGTCAGGGTTAAGATGACATTAATTTAATGATTTTACTATTATATTAAATAAAAAATGGAATGTTCAAATTTGATGGGACAGACTATAGTGTAATACTTTCCAGGGAAGCAATAATGATAAAAGGAAATCATTGTTAGAAAAAGGGGAGTTAAAATAAACTGACTGGTCAAAGCAAGATTCTGAGAAATTTTCGTTCTGGGTCAGAATCTCGCTTTAGGCACAAAATAGCACAATATCTCGTCGCGCAGTATAATAAGCTGGGCTAGAAAATAGTAAAACATATTTTATCATATTTCTCATGGGATTTGATAGATCTAATAGAAACTGTTTCTTCTATTTCTGTAGAAGTATGTTTGTTGCATTTGAAAGAACTAATTGAAACTGTTTCTTCTCATTCTGTAAAATGTATGTTTGTTGGATTTGAAAGAACTAATAGAAACTGTTTTTTCTATTTCTGTAAAATGTATGTTTGGTACTTCGCAAAATTCATCAATTATTATACACGTCACATGTCATTGTTCATAACATGCTTATGTTAGCTTATGCTTGAGTATCTTGTTTTTGTAGTCAAAATATATTGTCATGCCAAAGCCAGATTCTGAGATATGTTCCTTCTGTGTCAGAATCTTGCTTTTACAAATCCGCAGTATCGATTTTTTTCACACAGTTGTAAGCTTATTCAAATCATTGCACTAATTGTATCTACAAGTGGATTTATAAATTTTCTGTCTCATGCTTAAATTTGCCTATGATTTATGAGATGTAAATACGATTTTACTAAAAGAAAATGTGTCTGCTATTGTTTTACCTTTAATATACTTTGACCTTATATATTAATCAATGTATTTTCTATTTTATCTTACACGTAATTCATTTGACTATTTTTAGAAATGTTTCTTTAAATAGTGTATCATTGTAAATACGTATATACGAAAACGTATATAGCAGAAATGTGCACGTGCCTGGGAAAAATGTATTTCAATAAAATGGAAAAATATTTTATACAAATTGTCATATGCTTGTTCTAATAATATTCTTGGAATAGAATTGTTTTAGTATAGAACAATGAAAATAAAGTGACATCATATGATGGAACATAAAACAATAATTACTATGATGATACAGAAAATTAATAATGGCGCACTTCAAATTATAGAAAAAGAAGGGTTCTCTGTGATAGAAAAGTAGTGTTTGCAAACTTCATATACTTTAACAAATGAAATAAAGTTATATAATAATTGTGTAATGATATCTTTGGAACAGTTTGGAACTGTGTACACTTTCTAAATACAGTTTTTGTACAAAATAAAATGAAATATTTAACAACAAAGACTACAAAGACTAACGAGAATAAACCAGATATGTGTGTACGAAGATTTTAAATTCGTGACTATAAAAAGACCAACCATCTTGGTATTAGAAGAACATAAGAACTCGATATCATAGGTTTACAAACAAACAAACAAACACTCTGTTCTAGATCACTAAGTCCTGATGCATACCCATAATTTTCGTACTTGGATGTTTTATACCTTGTCCAAAACAATATATCAAAACTACAAAAAATCTATTTTATTATATTTATTATATGGATATTACATCTCAGAAATAACAATATTAAAATATTTTAGGTCAAATAAATGCGATAAGCACCTTTGATAATGAAGTAAATTTTGAAGAGATTTTGGGATTAATGAATACTATTTGTGTCAAATCAATGCAACCAGCACCTTTGTTAATAATTTTGACTTTTTTTTATAGTTTATATACATATGTCTTCTAGCTTAATAGCTTGCGTGCCCATCTGTTTGTATTTATCAATAGTGTAATCTTTCCATTTGATTTTGTCTTTTCTCACGCATCTGAATTTGAACCATTAGGGTGCCAAGGTATTCTGATATTTTATCAAGGCATGATTAACATTTCAAATTTGGTATACTGGCATGAAATGGAAGAGAACAGAGAAATTCAAAACGTAATATAATAGAATAATACTAATATGTCTGTATTTTTATAACAATTTGTACAAGTAAAGATACTGATTTTCTGAATTCTGAGCCAGTTAATGTTTGATATGAAACATCTTCAGTGCAGGAGCAGCATTTTCTTTACTTAATATGCAATATAATATTAGTTAAATTACTCAACGCAAAAATTGTATCTTACAGCCGTTAACATTAAATGTTTATTGACTTTTTCGAGCGGAGCGAACAGAAAAATATATATTTATTAGATTATTATAAAAGAAATAGTTAAATATAAAAGATAAGGTATTGATGGATTGCCTCAAAACTTTCATGGGTTGCTAGGTAAGCAGCCGGCTTAAAATACCTTTAAATAATGTATCGTATAGCATGATATTTTTTTAGCTTGGAAATTCCAAAAACTGTTTCTATTTATAGTCAAAATGGGTTTCTGTCGGGTCACAATCTTCATCTTTAATTCTTCTTGACATATTCGATTGTTTGTATTTACAAATTTGACAACGCTGCTCTTCAGTGAAGCAATGAATTTTAAAGAAAATCTATCTTGAAATTATATTTGGCTGAATTTTCTACGTCTACAAGAGTTTTAAATATGTTGAAAATGGGTTTTCGAATTATACTCTATTCTGAACACCTTAAATTGTTAAATGATCATGGTTGATAAGAAAGACTTAATCATTTGACTAGTGTAATACTTTTCAGTAAAGCAAGAATGATAAAAGGAAATCATTGTTAGGAAAAGGTAAGTCAAAATATATTGACGTGCCAAAGCAAGTTTCTGAGAAATTTCCGTTCTGGGTCAGAATCTCGCTTAGGCGAGATATTGCCCAGACACCACAAAATAGCACAGTATTTCGTCGCAAGGTATAATTAGTTGGACTAGAAAAAGGTAAAACTTATTTTATCATATTAATTTTCTCATAGGATTTGATAGAACTAATAGAAACTGTTTCTTCTATTTCCGTAAAATGTATGTTTGTAACTTTGACAAATTCATCAAATTATGATACACGTCTCATGTCATTGTTCATAAAAAGCATATGTTAGCTTATGTATGAGTTTCTTGTTTTAGTAGTCTAAATACATTGTCATGCCAAAGCCAGGTTCTGAGATATGTTCCTTCTGTGTCAGAATCTCGCTTTTACAAATTCGCAGTATTGAAGTTTTTCACACAGTTGTAAGCTGATTTTAATCATTACGCTAATTGTAGCTACATTTGGAATTAAAAGAATTTCTGTCTCAAGCTTAAATTTGTCTACGAATGATTTATCAGATGTAAATATTATTTTACTATAATTAAATATGTCTGCTATTGTTTTCCATACAATGACCTTATAAACTAATAAATGTCTATTCTATTTTATTTTACACGTAATTCATTTGACTATTTTTAGAAATGTTTCTTTAAATAGTTTATCGTGTGATATATTTAGCTGTAAAATTCCAACAGTTGTTTCTATTTATAATCAAAACGGTTTTCCGGTTTCTGATCCGTTAGCGAAAGGTTGCATCCATGCAACATAACAAACGTCAGTTAGGATATAATTTTAATGAGAAAGGTAAAAGCTATTCTTATAATACGCCTTCTATAACCCTGTTAATCTCTGTATAATTATTATAACTGGCTTTTTATATACAAAATACCTAAGTTATAAAACCGGTCAGATATTGAAAGAGGTTAACGTTATAGTGTAATAAACTACAAATTTATATAGAAATTGTTCAAAGTGCACTTGTATCCGATTGCGGATCGAGAAATTAAGTTTGAAATAGACAAAAAATTAATTCAATGAATACATATTGCTTTATCACTGATTACATTATTCATTGAAAAGTGAGATTTTAATTACGTAAAATCAAAACTTTAGCGACATTAGGGTCATTAGGGTCATTAATTCAAATTCCCATTAAATGCAATGTTATCATTATTTTTGATCATGGATGATTAAAAGGTAATTATTCAGTTGATAAATAATTATGCTAATATAACAGAAATAGTTATTATATTTAAAGTATCTTTTAATGTCATTGTCAGAATGAGGAAAAGTAAATTCAGTGTTCTTGTCACGTATTAAAAGAAATCATTGCTTGACAAGTTATGGTTAACTTCTGAAACAATGAAATAAGAAACTTAAATGTACCCTAATTTGTATTTTATCTTCTAAATTTGAAACACTATACAATCTTTGTGTTGTTTATAAAAGTACTTAAATAAAAACATAAACTCAAACACAAAAAACGTGTAATAATAATTTAACTATTTTGAACTATAAGCATTGATTCACACTGATACTTTTGCGTAAGACTATTCGTTTATTAATATTAAGTTACTTTTGCACATCATTTAATTAATATTTTAAAATTTTGTACAACGTTTACTACTACTGAAATGATCAATATACAAAAACATGTACTAACTTTTCTATAACAATAGATAAACAAATAATACTTGTATATTATACATAAAAATTGGGTTTCCTTTTTACATTGTTCACTTTACAGATGGCAGACAAATATTATAGACTTGTTTGCTTTGTGGTAGATATATGTGCTGACGTATTAAGGAAATATTTTGTCAAACTTGCAAAAACCGATGCTGGGAACACTTATACATCAGTTATGGCATATCTAAATCAAAGACATAGAGATGCAAAGCAGTTATTGTGGCAGAAAAAGATCAGGAACTATCAGTATAATCTACTTTTTCCTAGTAACGGCAGAGCTGATGAAAATCAATGGGATATAACATTAATTGTTACATTAATTGTTGAATTATATCCGTCACACGAAAACTTTGCCTTATCTGAAATTCGAGATATTCGGAATAATTTGCAGCATCACTCAAATACTAGTAACATTTCTGATGACGAGTTCGACGATTATTGGGGACGTCTGAACACTGCTTGTATGCGTATAGTAAATACATGTTCTGTTAAAGAAGCCTTTAGTCCAAAAGATAAAGTTGCATTTCAAGATAAAATCAGTAAAGCAAAATGTAACAATCTTCCAAATATCGGAGATTGTCTACGTTGTTGGTACGAGGAAAGAATTAAGCAGATGGAATCAACTACTGAAGAAACAAACAAAATTATTCGAAAAGTGACTGTCGAAAAACCGGGACCTTCAGGTTATCTCTTTAGAAGATATTTTAACCAAGTCTTATCATTCCGATTCATCCGTTAGCACAAATTCATGAGTAAAATAGTATGACTTACACGAAATTGCCTTTACTATATATTTTGAAAGTCATTGATATATTTGATCTTTATAAAATCTTTATTTGAACAAATAAAATCGGCATGACATACTTTGAATAAACGTTTATCAGTATATTACATTTTTCATCGCTGAATGATAAGTTTGAGATATGTTATTTACTTAACATTTTTAGGTTCAGAACATATAATTTATGCACTTATAATTGTATAATAGACAAATAAACCAATGTGTAAAATTTCAGGGGAAAACAATAAAAGATTTAAAGCTTTTGATGGCATACTGGCAAAACTCCGAAGTAAGTTTTTAAAAAAGAGCATTATTTGCTAAAGTTGTCTAGAGACAAAAAGACGTGTTAAATATTAACGTTTGAATACATAATTAAAAAAGTTCTTTTACACAAAAATCAATTAATGCATCTTACAATAATTATTTTCAAAGAAATTCGTGATAACTTGATTTTCCTTTCATTACTTCAATGTTTATATTTATGAAGACATTTATTCTATTTAAGAGGGATTCGAGTTATCGATGAAGGACTTTCCAGACGATTTCAATGCTCCAAATGAAGTGACAGACATTCGAGCTAAACTTAGAGATTGCCATCACGTGCTTGTAGCCGGATGCAACAATAGCCGTTACTTTGAGACCGCTCTTGCAGCAATAAAGGGGATGGACTATAACTACAAACGAAGCGTAGAAATGCATACGTCATCTGATTGGCGGCACATTGATCCAGAAGATGTAGATTTGGTTTTATGTAGAGATCCATTTGGGGGAGTTTCTTACGATGAAAGCAAAGCTAAAGCCATGGATGATATATTTACAAGCATGATGCATTCAACAAAGACAGATAATGGTGATAAAACATTGGACATTGTAATAGTAACAGACCTGAATATATTGGAAGAGTGCAAAATGCATCATGATCATGAATTCCTAGACGAAGTGGTAAAGGTGTTTACTGATACAAGTTCAACACAACCAGCTGATCTTACAATAGGTATACTATTTATCGCTTATTCTGCTATAGACTGATATGACGTTAAATAAACTAAATCAGTCTAAATGTTATGAAATGAAGAAAATGTTTTGAATAATATAATCTAGCTCTTGATTAAGAATGTTTTCGGTAATTTCTCTCTCCATACTATATCCATTGTTGTGTTAAGTGTTCATGTTGTCCTTTGGTTATGGGTGATTCTGTATTGTATAGTATTGTATTGTTATGCCTAATTGTGTTTAGTCCGACTCTTTTCATATTTTTATAGTCATATCACATATTGTTTCAATTTTTGGTGTATTGTCGTTATGATTGGCCACAAAAAAATTTGGACAAGACCTTTAAGTTGACTTGACTAAACTTGACAATTATTCAATGAATGACCTTGACCTTCAAGTTCAAATGTCTAAATGTTGCCTGATTTGGCAATAACTTTGTTATTGTTGAATTGATTGTATTCAAACTTGAACACAACAATTTCTTTAGGATAGTCCTTGAAGTTCTACTGTATAAAACTCCCCCTTAAAGCTCCCATTCGGACTTCCAAACAAAATCTACCCCGATTTCAGGCTTAAACCAGACAGTTGTACAATAAACTATTTTTTTGAGATTATAAGTTATAAGTTATTATAAGTATTAACGTCAATCTCAGAACAAAAACATATTTCATCTTCGAGTCGATGGGATGTTTAACAAAAAGAAAAGAAAGAAAATTGTAGTATATGACATAGTGTCTTACCATTGACACGAATGTGTTCCTTTTTAGTGTACGGATTTGATTTATTTGTGGATAAAAACAACACTTTTAAACCAACCGGACATGTTAAATAATTTAGATATGACCTTGATCTTTAAAGGACCTTTATTGTCAAGGTCAGACGATTGAATATTTGCATATATTTTCTTACATTTGTCACTTATGGAATGATTCATACTTAGACAAAACAAGAAGTCTGACAAGACATACTTATTAAGATTAATAAGGGAAATATATTATTATATTTTTAAAGATTTGTTTAAACCGTTTATCTATTAGCTTTCAAAAAAAGTTTAAAACGTCGCCACTACTGTGTGGTTGCTCTTGTTTTATTTAGTCAAACATCATTTGTTTATTCGTTTACCACGATTACAATTATACCACTGTATGTTTGATTAAATAGGTAAAAATGAATAAGAATAGCTTCCTCATTACAGGATGTAGACGTAAAGGACAATACGCGCAATCGTCTTCGCTGCCAGTAACCAGAAATAATTTGGGAGGTAATATTGTTTCTTTTTCATGTATATTTGTTATGAAGTAAAAATGTCATACGTGTTTTTTGTGTGTGTTTTATTTTTTAATTTGACTTTCTTTATTTTTAAGCTTTAACGGAATGTTTCCTGAAGGCTTATGAGATATCCAGTGCTCAAGTAAATGATCAGATACTTACAAAAGCAAAGAGAAGTTTCCAAGTTTATAAGGCCATAGTATTAACAGGGCATGAGAAATGTGGTAAAACTTCTATAGCTGTTGCATTGGCGTCTGCTTATGATGTAAAAGAATGTTTACTTCTCAAGAAACCTAATGATGTCAATTACATTGACTTCCCAAACATCTGCTTGGTGATCATAGACGAGTTTGCTGGGAAATATCGTTATGAGGAGAATGATGTGTACAAATGGTACAACATGTTTGACCATCTGTATAATGCCGTTATAGCAGGACATATGAACGTGATAATGACGTGTGAAAAGCGTAAACTAGACAAATGTATCAACGAAATTGGACGGCATGCCATTCTTGACCACGTGGTGGATGTACCTTTACAAAAAGCTGTCGTTAAATTAGAAGTATCTGAACGTAAGTTCATACCATCGTAATATTTCTAAAATTACGCATTTAAACATGAATTTCACTATCACAATAAATGATTATTTTACTTATTGACCGCTTATGTCATTTAAGGTTAAGATCGGAAAAAGTATAGATAGAAATAGTTGACTGTAGTGTCGATTTTAGCGGAGATAATAATCATTTGCAATGCATGCCATTATACATGTATGTATTTCAAAAGTGTCAGGGATTTTGTTTAGTTTTTCACTTTATAGATATTTAATTTTCTTTAACCTTTTACCACATGAATATATTGTGAAAAAATGCCCGATTTCATTGAAAAGCCTCCTGTTACAAGTTCAAAATGCTATAAAACTATGAAAAATGTTTCAATACGGATGAAACTTGGCATTTTTAGCCCGTTACATGTTACAAAATTTTCTTGGTGATGAGGGGACCACTACTCCTTTCAAACCCCCAAACAAAAGTGGATACATCCTCCCTCTGGTACCCCCTTCTTGTACCTTTTTAATAAGGAGCGGTGCCGAAAAAGTGATCACTTTTACAGCATTTCACAAACGACAAATAGTGTTAGGGGCCTAAATAGGGCATTTATTCACTATTTAAGGCCTCAAAGGGAGGGGATGTCAAAAGCCGTAAAACACGTTTATATGAGGAAAAAGGTTATTAACAATCTTCTCTGGGATATACAATTGATTTGAGTTTTTTATATTTTGACAGTAAGATTTAAGATGGCATATATTTTTCTTTTTTCTGTCTAGAATATGGACATGTGTTTCCATTCATAGTACCTAAAGTATTCCCTTTTATTTTTTTAAACCATACTTTTAACTCTTAAAGTGTTTAGGTATTAACGTTTAATATAATACGTTGATATGAGTCATTATGGAACGGTGTATTAATCAAGTACTGTAGCTCTGCATCCCATAAAGTTTGCACTACTGTCCTTGGTGACCTAAATCTTGTTGTCATTCAAATTATTTTTGTTATCAATAAGAACAGCAAAGTGCACACATGACATTGTAAGCTTCAAATTTTGAGATATTTTCATTTGGCTGTAATTCTGAGTTATGTTATCAAAAATAATCAAACTCTGATTCTGCATTCTTATCTATGGCCATTTGTAGATTACCGAAAAGAAATATTTATGACAAGATTTTAACATACCCTGGAATACGTTTGTATGTTTTACAGGAAAAGTTTAAAATCACAATTAGTCGGAGAACGCATTACCCTTTATAAATAAAATCTACTGCAACTAAGTACTTAGAGAGCCCTATACTAGATAAATATTGACTTGCTTAGTTATAGAGATTTATAAGTTGTTATTGCTATTTATCCAAATTGACATAAATGCATATTGATAATTCACATAGTAAATAGTTTTATTTTGTTTCATCTTTGTCTATTTATAATAATAGTGATAATTTAAGCATAATTTCAGATGAATCCTTAAATTATATATCTTATATATAGCAACATAATTAAAACTAATGACCAAAATGACATGACAATATGTCGTACAAATATTTTATTGTCATAGTAGCTCAAAAGATTGACCTATTATTACAGCTCAATTATGTTAGCCTTAAACATGTATTATAATTTTATTCACAAGCGCATAATACACACACGTTTCAATCAAGCGCTTTTTTATCAAATGGCAGAAGATATCAATTCAACGAATTCACTTGTTGATTCAAACCATTACTATATACTTCCACTCAGAAAGAAAGGCATTTAAACGCGCTTATCTAATATCATTATACAATATATGAACATTTCATTTCAGGAATACAAAGTCAAATACAGGCGAAAAGAGGATTTTCTGGATTGGAAAGGTAAAAAATAATCTAAGTCAATACCTCTGCGCTATTTGATACAAAAGGACATATCTCCACATATTATATATGTTATAAATGAACAGGTCGTAGTCGGTGTGGTCACCGTGGTCTTCTTACATGCACAGCATAAAGAAGTAATGCTTACATGTCGTAAAGAAGAAATGCTTACATGTCATAGGACGTCAATTATGACGAATTAACCAAATGAAAAAGTACTACGTTCAATTTACACAGACTATATTCTCTTTTATATTGACATGTTAGATTGGAAATTGATCATAGTATAACAATGCACGGTGTATTGCTCAACTGCTTTGTTAATTAATCACGCAGGCATCTAGGTCTTCGTAATTATATTCCGATGCATTTGAACTCGAACCGCGCATTATTCTACAACAATGCACTCAAAATTGGGATCTATTTCCTAAGTGAACACGGGGTCTGAAATTTAAAGCCTCCTGACATCAAATATAGATGAGCTGAAAATTTATGGAAGTTAATATGATATTGTGTATATTCCGGTTGTTCCAATTGAACATACAAATAGGTGACTTTGACTAGAGCTAAATGAGCACTATACAGTTACACATGAATTGCACTGATTAAACTTATTTTAGACTAAGATTGAATTAAACGATTTTTCTTAATATTTATTAATTTTTATATAAAGCCCTCAGTTTTAATTATAACTATTTAATTTTTACTTAGTGCAGTTGTATCGATAAATCATCAAATAGTTGCTCTTTGTATCACTATCATCTTTGATAAATCTGCAATAATTCATAAAAGCAGTTCTTGTGAAAACATGTTATAAATAAAAAATATATGCAGTCAATATTTGAATATTTTACGTTTCACGTTTGATCTCATTTTCTTTCAAATAACGGATAAACTTATATCGATTTTATGACCATACAGTAAGGTGCTATTTCAGGGTAATGCAGACTGAGACAGATGATTTGAGTGTAAAGAGATCGAGGTCAATGTCGTCTGGTTTATGGTCAGCCGAAGAGAAACGTGAGATTAACATCAGGATCAAGGATGATAGGAAGCATTGTGACCTTTCAGGAAGTTGTATACTACCTTCAGGAGAAATTCTTCTTTCAGATTTCTATAACAAAACATTAAAGAAACTTGATAACATGTATAAAGTAATCAGTGTTTGTGATCTTCCTTGTATACCATATGATGTTTGTTATGTCGGGGATAATGTAGCTGTTGTATCACTGTTGATGAAACTTCAGTTTGTTGATACTAAACGTAGTATGACACTGATTAGATGCATTGATACAGATCAACTTTGTCGTGGTCTGGCTTGTCATGGTGATCAGATGTATGTTAGAGACATTAATGGTTCAATTTATAGATATAGTACAGATGGAATAAAGCAGCAGGTGATTTATTCAACTATAATTTCTTATAATCCTTATAACAAAATTACTGTGAGTAATGATGGAAGTAAGTTATACTTTTCATGTGAGAATCAGCTTGTTACCATTGACAAAAATGGAAACCATTTGTTTACATTAAACAATGCAAAAATACATGGCAGATGTAGAGTTTGTGTAGATGATCAAGGCTATGTTTATGTAAATGGTAGGAATGGGAATATTTTACAAATAAGTGAAGATGGTATGATTTTACTTCAGGTCATACCAAGGGTATATGGCATGACTAATGCACGTTCATTAACATTTGATAGGAAAAATACAGCTCTGATTATAGCAGGGTTGTCAGATGAAATTAGTGTTTTTAAACTGAGGTCATAATGTGAAACTCAAACAAGATGAATAGGATACCATGATCAATTTAATAACTTTAAGATTTCTTAATATATACTACACTTTATTTGTTCCGGCATAATGCCAAGTAAGTTAGAATTATTCCTCACTAGATGGTGGAACAAACTTGATTTTTCTGGCTTTACTTCAATGCATGGATAGTGTAAGATATATATGTTTATAAACTTTTATAATTTAAGTTACAACATAATATTTTGTCATCTCCTATTTTTTTTATCTGAAATGGAGTCAATTAGTCGATGCACATATTTACAACACTGTATTCTACTCAGTCACTGTTAACAGTTGTTTCATGTGTGATCTACCAATTGATGATTCAATTATAATAATTTATTTCATAGAACTAAAGTGTTTGAAAAGTTTGTAAAGGTTTCAACAATTATATATAGATCTGTAATATGGACCAATGTAACTTTTTTTTCGTACCATGTGTATGTGTCCTTGAAGAGAATAATAACGCATTTTTTCTTTTAATTAGGGAGCATAGACCGCTTTCCATGGTGATAATTATACTTCCTTAATGTATTAGGGACTTCTCATTTAATAAAATCATTGGCTGAAATAGTATTAATTATTTGTTGTTGTTGATGATGATGCAGTTTAGTCCAACATCTTTATATGGTCCTGAGAATATACTCCTCTAACAATTTTGCGATCGTTTGGTCTCTGTTTGGACCAGAAATTGATTCTCATAGAACCTGACCACTATTACAGTATAACTAATGGATTAAATTCCAATAAATTCTTTAAAACATTTTGCTGCTATACACAACATATATATTTATATTTAATCAATCAAGATTACAATTTAGATGTTTATTGAATACATTACTAAAAATATTATCCATAGGTTTATTATTCCGGCGAATTGAATTTAACAATTCTTACAACATGAAGCTTGTTGGTTGGTGACTATTTTTATTTATAGATTCACGCATGCAATGTTTTATAGATAACTCTAGAAAACATGCAATACAAGACTACTTGCATCACCAAGCACAAAGATTGGCAATATCTCATATTAATTTGCGTTGAGCAGAAAATTCTATCCATAGAAATAAGGTAGCCTGGGACATTTAACCCGGTTTTTATTTTCCAAGTTCAAAACAATCCGGATGAAATCTACAGTTGATAGTACTCGAAGTAAAGATACTTTTTATGTACATGTACATATATTTATAAAACTGTTGGTGCGTTCAGAGTATTCCCAATGGTAGCAATAATGAATTACCACCGGTAAAATTACATTTCTATTGTTTGTTACCAATGTTTGATCATTTATCTAAACCAAAAGTACATGGCACTCCAAGCCATCAGTTCTGTTCTTAAGTCCAAGTTTTACTCAGTTTTTTTATTGTACAGGTAATTTGAATTGATATTTATAAATTTATAAACTTTATCCCCCGCTTTAATGTTTCTTTGCAAATTCAGCGGGTTTTTTTACATTCAACGCATGCCTATATACTATTAGTCTAATACGAGCAATGTAAATTGCATGCAACTGACAATAAGAATCAGATCTGATTGACAAAAGTTACCAACACTGGGTGATCTCAGAGTAACTCCATGCCATTTGTAGGTTACTTATCATAGTCATAGCATGGTACCAATGTTTATGGATAAAATTTGTCATAGTAAGAAAGAATAACAGACAGAGGGTGCTCTCGGAGTTAATATATTGGTATCCAATGGTAGCTTTAATTTACTTACACTGGCATATCAATGGTATCAGATTTCCTGAAAACAAATGCCATTGGCAGATAAATTTTCAGAAAAACTAGTGCTATGTAAGTGTTGACAAGTCTTACTTATAACGTCATTCATTAAATTCAGCGCAAAATATTTGTTGTCAGTTTCTTTTAAACAAGTACATATATTCACGTGGACATGGAGTGTTCATGGAGTGATTTTAATGGCAGATTATGAAAATTGTGAGTTTTTAAAAACATTTGGCAAGTACTAATATAAATCAAGACAATATAGACCTGACCTTCATATATCTGCTTCTATATGACATCAAAATCGATTTCATACGGTAAGTGCAACAGCAGCAACATCAAACATTTATAATTAGAAGGAAAGTTTCATGAGGTTAAAGTCATTAAAGATCCTGTATGTTTTGATTAAGGTTGTTACCTCAATTAAGTGATTTTTTATATATGCATATAATTATGCTTCTAAAAAAAATTCAAACATCGAAGAATATGTAAAATATGTACTGCAAATATTTGTACATATTATATGTAATCACTAAGATATATGCATTCATTTCTTTTTGAAAAAGTTGACTTAGACTTCATAGAAAATGATTTTTATTACTTCCCTTTATTTACATGAAATGTTAAATGTGGTAATATCATTACATAAATAATGCTTTTTTGGAACTTGCAAAATTGTTAAATCTTAATTTGGGCATCATATTTATGCTATAAAACCATAAAAAAATTGTGTTACATGATCTTTAACCTAATAATCAGGAAAAAAACCAAAATGAAAGTAAGGAATCAGACATAATTCAGTACTAAGACAGGCACAAGGACCAACATGCTGCTTGAGCAAATCAGTAACAGCTATCTCATGAAAATATGAGTATACACTAACATATACATACATGCATCAAAAATAAAATTTTAAATGTTTCTGTGGCAGTCTCTGTCTTGAGCTGGCCGAAAACTGGGGTAAGATTATGAAAAATATAAATGAAAAAATATAAATATTAAATTAAATTAAAAGTTGGACAATAATATTGTTTAAAAGCTTTTTCCCCTAATACAAAATGGGAAAACTGATCAGTAAGCTAGCTACCACACATTTAAAAACTATACATATAAATAGTACTCGTGTACATTAATCGGCCGGAGGCCGTATGTTTCGGGTTGAAGTTCCGCTAGTACTGATGAAATAAAGGTAGGGTATTTCTGCTACCTTTCAAACTAGTGAATATATACGTGTATTCTAACGGCTGGATTATGCTATATTGTCGGTGTACATAAACATATTTAAAGTTCTTCAACAGCACCAAATTAATGTGCAGGAAATATTTAAATAGTTTTAAATATACATACATAAAAGTCAATATAGATATTATTATACCAATTGGAATATTAAATATTTACAAAGCTATAGAATCTAAAAATGAATCTGATATTGAACCACAAGAAAAAGTACTGGCGCTCGGTATTACGACAGTAGGGGGAAGGTATTTGTGTTCCATATCAACAAGGTAAGGTCTATTTTGTTTCTTAATTGATATTGAAATTATCTGTTTCACTCGGTGTTACGATAGTAGGGGCAAGATACTTGTGTTCCAGATCAATAAGGTAAGATCTATTTTGTTTCGGGAAGTATTGTACATACACATTGGCTACTCATACAGGACCAATAAGTGACGGCAAGTCTCAACTCAGTGGGCGTGTTTATTAGAGATATACAAATAAACGTGATTTACTAGCTGATAAACCCTTAATGAAATCCAGCAAGTCTCTGTGGCAAATGCGTAGGACTATACACATTACATCATTTGTGCCTGGACCGACTGGACCGGGTGAAGGGCAAATAAGTCATGAGTCCAGTGACGGACCCTAAGTGACAGTGTCACATAAAGGTCCATGGTCTTGTGCATAATTAGATATTTACATAGTCGCAGTTAAAGTTTCTGAAACGAAAACACCCGATAATAAATAATGTTGAAGTTCAATTTGACTGTAGTACACTTAAGTACACAAATACAATCTAGACGAGATTTTAAACGATTAAACGTAAGATATTAGTCACTTTACGCATCAATGAATATGTATGTTTTGACTGTCAATTTTATATGTTAATGAAATTCATTTTGTGGATTTATTGACGAATTGCTGTTTAAATTAAACAAGGTACACTTTCAATTTAGAATATTTAAACTATAAAGCATAAAATCAAATATTCTAGTGTATAATGCATTAGACCTATACATTCTTACTTCGGATTATTCATCATAAAAAGTCTAGAAAAAAATAAATTTGAGGGTTGAAAAAGGGAAAAAAAAGAATTATAAAATTTTTAATTCAACTGTTTCTTTTCTCGGGAAAATTGGCGTTTGATTTTCCCTTTCGTGATACGGTTATTCTTCACACATGGCCACGAATGAAATTTATACCGCAGATGGGACCCTTTCTCTCTGAAGGTAGAAACGTATCTGAGAGCTAATGACATCCCGTACAAGGTATTAAGTTATACGCTTTTTAGAATTATGTGGGAAAGTATCAAGTTTACAAGACCATTTCCTCATGTTCCACCAAAAAATTATTTCCGATATTCATCATATTATAAGCTTGATAGTAAATAATTTTGACCTATCATTGTTTTTGAATTTCAAGTTCATAAGCTGAAGGAGAATGTTTTCCTCTAATGATTTAGAATCACACAATTGATTTAATACGATTTTTTCCAAAAGACTTGCTTTTCTAACTGTACTGTATTAAATCGGTTCCTTTATTCCAGCTGGACGAAGAGTCTAAAAATGGTCCCAAAGGTGATTCCTGTATACCATATGGATAGAATATAATGATAAAAGACTGGCAGACCATGATGTAATAACAAAATATCTATCGGGTACTCTAAATAAAGATATGAATGAACATCTATCTATGGTTGACAAAGAAAAGGCCACAGAGATTCAGAAATGGCTGGAGAACCACACCTATTGGTAAGTTTTCTATTAAATTACATCAAAATTTATCTTTTTATGTTGATATGTTTCCCTTTGTGATTCATGGGTTGCAGCCACCATGCCAGTTGTCCGAGGCAAATAAATGGTTTTCCAAATTAAAAAAATTTAAAATTTGGGTTTGCTTGTTTTGACCCCGGGTGTTGTTTAAAAAGGGTTTTTAACCCCAGGTTCCCCCAAAAAAGCTTCCCCCCTTTGGTTTGGGTGCCTTTTTCCCCTTAATTGGTTTCGTCATTTTTAAAACCCAGTAACTGGTTAACTTTTTATAAAAATTATTTTTAGAAAAAAAACCAGTTTCTAGATTAAATTTGACGTTTTAGTTTTTATTATGGGAAAAAGGTAAACTTTGTAATTGAAAAAAAAATTTCGAGGGTTTTAAGTTTGGCCCGTATATGAAAAATTTTCAAAAAAAGGGTATGGCGGAATTCAATAAACGCATTTCCCCAACAGAACCCAGCAAAACAGGACCACTGGAATTAAAGATCATATATTGTTACGAGCCAGGCATAACGAGAAAGAAAAGCCAGCAACAAACTTGTAACAATAACAAATTTATTACAGAAAAATTATTAAAGAAAAATAAAATAACAAATTATGTTTACAAATACCTGAAGTCCAAATAAAAATGAAATCTTAAATGTCTAGTCTGATCCTGGAATGATCCTTTTTTGAATAGCACACTTAAATCCAAGTAAAATCCAAGAACACTTTAGAATAAATTCCCACAATAAAATCCACAAGAATAATTTTAACTATTTTAAAATAATCCAAGCTCCAATAAATCACTTAATTTCCAAGTTGAATAATACTCCAAGATAACTGATGACTTAAAAAGGTCACTGATGACTAAAAAGGTAAAGGTAATGAAAAATGTCTCCTTATATATATTAACTAAGAAAATTCCAGAAAGGTCTATTATGTTCTCAAGTAATCATAATCTAGCAACTTCAACAATAAAGAACATTCCAGAAGTTTCTATCTAAATATGATGCATGAGTTTTCTACAACAGTTAAGAACGTTCTAGTACATACATGTAGTTTATGTTCTAAAAATAGAACAATGATAATATTGGAAATACCAACTGGTCAGATACAAACTATATACATGTAATATGTTGCATACATAACAATATAATGTAACTGACATAGATATTTATGTAGTTTGACATTTTTTCATCTCAGGGTGACATATTACACACGCTGGTATATTTACTGGGACGATATGCTGGTCAACTTGTTTGAATGTCCAGCATATGTCAACAACTTTATAAGAAGACCAGCTAGGTGGTATCAGAAGATGATAACTAAGAAACATGGAATTGATGGGAAAAGTGACGACGAAGTTAATGCTATGTTGGTAGAAGATCTTAGAAAGTTTTCCGATATTCTCGGTGAGCTAATTTTCAAGTTATTCTGTTTTGTTATAGAAAATATATATCGTTAGCAATGATTAGAGTTCGCTGTGATAACATATATCGTTAGCAATGATAAAAGTTCGCTGTGATAATGTATATTGTTAGCAATAATTAAAATTCGCTTTGATAAATGTAATGGAAAGTGTATTCCGTGACACAAAACACTTTTCATACAATTAAATTGCATTGGAGACGCACATAAAATCATTTCGACTCTGTGGTGTCTTATTATTCACCATTTACTTGTGAAGGATGACAAAATCTCGCAAAAACCATATTAAGTTCATGTGATGAGTAGACTAGTGTTAAGCGAATATATACTAAATGGAAAAAAATTATTTATTGATACACTACTTATATTTTACTCGAAATCAATACCGAATAAAATATTAAGTGCAGCTTTTACATTATAACAGGAGAGAAAGATTTCGTCATGGGGAATCATATTAGCGAGGTAGATTGCATTGCTTTTTCAATCATTTCACAAATTCGATGGTGTTGGCCAAAGGAAAGCCCCGGACATCAACTTTTGACAGGTATAGTTTAATTGGATTTTGATATAGGATAGAATCAGCCACTAAGGTTTACGTAACAAAATACCGCGTTTACTTGTATGTATAGGAAATATCATTGGTTCTTGATACGCTGAATATCTAATAAAATATAAGAATGATATTTTGCGTTTCAAATAACATGCAACGTTTGTACATGTATATTATGTAACGATATGAAACTACAGACTTTAACCATCAGGAACTTTTTAGCATATTTAACGAAACAGGTATTATATTACGATTGGAGCACTATATATCTGTATATTTTTAAGTTTTAAAATTTTTGAGGTTATATCCCTATATAAAAACCCTATTTTAAAATTTCCCGCCAGTGGGAATTTTTATATTGCAAGAAACCGTTTATTAGGCCATATAACCTGTTAAGAATCTTTAAAACGAATCAATAATACACCAAACTTCCTTCTTTTAGAGAAAAACACATGAAAATTCTTCAAGTCTGTTCATAATTTGACAGTAGCCGGTTATCCAATGACAATCGACGTTACAAACGTACAGTTTCACATTTGTTTTAATTTATGTATTACAGGAGGAGAGATGCAGAATGTGATGGACTATCTGGGACAGAATAAGAAACTTATATTGGTCAGATTGGGAGGAGCTTATGAAGTCTGCCAAGTGTAAATCTTGAAATAATTTCCCTTGAGTTATATGACATTATAAACAACAGATACCTCTGAATATGTTTGACGCAACATTTCATTATAAAATGAAATGTACTTCATTCAAGGATACAGAGATATTGAGTTATGAATGTTCTATAACCAGTCTAGTGTGATATGTGTATACAGACTGGACAGCCATATTTAGATCTACGTGAGAGTTATCTATGTGATGCTAAAACTTTTGTTAACAATATCAAATCGTGTCCGGCCAAGTTTCAACTGAATCTCTGTCCAACTCGGGTACTTTTAAATTTAGTTTATTCATAAAGAGGACCTTTAATTACTCGACGCAATTGTAATCTGTAAATTACTACAGCAATTCCATAAAAGGAAAAGTTATCATATGATATAATTTCTGTCAAACAGATATTTTATAAGCATAGAAGAATGGCAATTCATCAACATAATGTATAAAATACTCATCACCTATATCATCATGATCATTTTTTGTGAGACATTTTTGAATACATGTATGATATTATATTTGTTTCGACACATACTTTACTCCAGTGAAGTTTATAAATGCATATTTGTACATATTTTATAACTTTTATTAACCGTGTTAAATATCTATTGAATTTGTTATTTGATTTTTTTTATTATTTGATTGCTACTCAAAAAGTAAACGGAGAAAATATTACTTATTTGTTAATGCTTTTCATTTTGTACTTTATACGTATTTCCTAAACAATTGTCTAGTATAATAGAAATAAAATGACTACGATTAAAGGCGGCAACATCAAAAGCAATACGAACTGTGCCCAATAAATGCCGGTGCTAGTGGGCGGGGACGGTAGTTTGCCATTCCAGTGTTGTCCATAAATATACTCAACCACACTGAACATGCAACATTTTCAATTTTGCCGATTTGATCATTGTCACTGCGGATGTTGCTAAATTCAATAATTTCACCATAGTTTTGTGTAAATATTGAACACTAGTTAAGTTGGTGCTAGGGAGCGTGGGCGAAAGCTTGCACTTACCATTACTGTAAATGAACAGACTCGATTAAACCATGAGTGCAACATTTTCAAATTTCGCGTTTTAGGTGTTCTTAGTTTATACAAATTTATTTTAGTTCGATAGTGTTGGAAGCTGTAAGCTTATTGAAACACTCTCGAATCCGTTCCTGGAACCAACCAGTACTAAGCAATGAATATAAAGTTTCTTGCTCAAGGAAACAACGGCTTGCCCCTGACAGGGTTTGAACCCATGCGGTAAGCAATCCTTAGATTACTAGTCGATGCGTTAACCACTTGGTTACTCCACCATTCTTAAGTGTTCTTAAGGTATTGAGTTTTTTTATAGCCTATGAAATTTTTTCCTCCGACTTTTCATTATATTAATGGTTGACAAAATGATGTGTATGATTTGAGTCACCTGAACTGTAATAACAATATGTTAAATATACACGTAGTTTGCACAATGAATCGAATAACAGACTGGTTTATCTCTACAAATGATCGACGTTTAAAATGATACAACAATACCTGGTCAATAGCTACTGCCGGCCAGATACTGTAATAATGACATTTATTCCATGTATCTGAAACTAAAAAAATAGGCATTGTATAGGAAAAACTAGGAATGATTGGGACATTTTTTCCATTACAAATAACCGTTACTTTTGGATTATTAAGTTAATGATGGGAAAGTCAATTTTAATCCAAATGTGATTGATTATAATAATAGAGTATAAAGACGTGAATGTTTGTGTTTGATTGACGTATAGCTGTATATGCTGTATATGTTTATCACAACTTCAAGGAAGAGTTTCCTTTTAAAAGATTATATTTTAAAAACTTATAATAAGCAAATCATTCATGCTTTCTTTAACATAAAATACTTGCCTAGATGAAGATTATGAAATGTTAACACGTATATTTAGCAGTCTGATATTGTAATTTTTTTTAAAGTCTGACTCGAATTATGTTTTGTACAAACGTACAAAATGTTCAAAACTGAAATATAAATGTTCGTTTTTTATAAAGAGTATTATATGCTTCGATAGCTTAAAGACAAGAATATCGTCAACATATATGGATGCCCGATTCAGTGCTTTGGCCAACATTACCAAACTGTTATTGATAGATTTGCCTGCATTCAGTTTGAAACAGTCAATCAGAAAATTAAGGGACTTGAATATATTCTGTACTTGTGGCAAATGCTAATCGCTTTCGTTTAAGGGTACAATCAAACCGAGTCTACAGCTTTCATGTAATTTTGTTGTGATTAATGCTACCTAGGAATCACCTTTATTCCAGTTTTTTTTATCAACGGTCTGTAAGCAGAAAACTCTGTTACAACACCTCTAGATAGATATAAGTGTTTAGCCATTTAAATACAACAATAAGAACAACAATGACTAATAATACAAATGTAAAATATTTTATTTAAGACAATACAACACGTTTATTAACAGCTTTACAATGTATATTAGATTTAAAAATATATGTTCATCTCGCTCGTGTAAGTAAAGAATATGTTCTATTATTGATCATAAAATCAAGAGAGCAATGCAATAACATTATATAATGTAAATCAAAATATTCATTACACTAGAATCTTTATGAAATATTATCAAATAACCCTTATTCATATCTCGTATCTATGATTTAATATATATGAGTAGATATGCCCGCACGGACAAACAAGAATTTAACACTTTGATTCTGCACATATTTTCTCCCAGTCTGGCCAATACACATCCTTGATTCTGTCAAGATAGTCCATCACGTTCTGTTGTTTTCCACCTGTTAATATAATTAAAACTAAATTAATTACTGGTTTGGGGATTACGTTTTACACAATTTTTGGCAATATTCCTATGACCCAACCTATGATATTTTATCAGGATATATATGTATGATCTTAAATACAGTTTTCAGAAATCTTTGCTTGATTTGCATACAATTTTGTTTTTAATTTACAATTTTGATATTAACATTGCTTTATATGTTTTCCGTCATTTAAATTAGTAGTGTAGAAGTGTGTAGATGTTCGTCAATGTGTAGAAGTATTCTTGAAAATTATCAAACAGAGAAAACTTAAAGTCCAGCAATAATACAACACATTGAAATGTTGACATACTTATTAATCACGGGGTTATACTAATGTTAAATGATGTTTTATATACAAGCATGTGCAGCGACTGAAAGTTTCCACAGCGCATCCCTTTTACTGTTTTTGTATGAAAAAAAAAATATTTATTATAATCAGCACTGTTGTAATCGGCCTTCAACTAAATCATATAAACGCTTTCTAAATCAAATTTTGCCATATATTTTTGTAGGTGAATTTCGTATCCTCGACTGTAATTTAAATATCAATATGATAGTGTTATTATACTGAATGATTATTTAATACAATTACAACTTACATTTCTCTGTATAAAATTTGAAATACATATATACTTATGTTTACACGAAAATGTTATACCCAACAGACAGTTCAGATGGAAATCTTAAAATTAATATTCAAATACCTGACGATATCGTTATGAAGGTTATTACCTGTCAATAATTGATATCCAGGGCATGACTTTGGTGTACACCATCTTATTTGTGAAAGTATTCCAAAAGCTGCACAATCAACTTCGCTTATTATGTCACCCATAATAAACTTCTTGTCACCTATAAAGCGAGACAAATATACTTTTTGTTATTATAAAAATATATAATAACTTTATTCACAAAAGATAACAAACCCATAAGCTAGTGACATGGAACACTATAAACATAACAACTTAACATAAGACATGGTGGCATAAAACAATATTCGAGTATGAGTAATTATAATTATGTTAATACATATTTTGTAAATCAAAAATAACACACTATGCAATGAGCATTGCATTCATGAAAATCTAAAATATTACAGACAAAGACACTCGAAATAAAACTCTAAGCATATCACAGCTACAATAAACATACGAAGAGAAATAGTTGTACTGTTTGCAGAATTGGAAATTGTGGCAAATAATGTACTTCTCAAGTAAATGTGACACATTTATGTTAATCGATGTGAAAAAATCAAACAGAAAACTAAGGGTGCAATAAATTTATACATATGTATTGATTAAACCATTTATATGATAGCCAAACATACCAAGGAGTTTAGCAAACTGTTCTAGATCTTTAATTATCATTTCATTTACTTCCTCATCAGTATGTTTACCAATGCCTACAGCTTTTGTCTGTTTCTTCTGCCACCATCTTGCAGGAATTCGTATCAATTTATTTAAAGCTGCTGGACATTCAAACATGTTGACAACCAGATCGTCCCAATACATGTACCATCGAGAATGGTAGTTTAACCTAAAAAACAATCTTATTGTTCAGATGGAAAAAGTATAAGTGTTTTTGTCTCAAAATACATTTTTTACGAAATAAAAAACTGCTATTATTCCAATTAAAAATGTGCATTTAATGAAAGAAGCAAAGTTTTTCTTTGCACGGGATCAGTAAGTTTTTCTTTATCTTTAAACTGAAGTACAACGTCTTAGTTAAATTTCGAACCATGGCTAAAAATAAACTAACGCTCATTTTATTATTTCATTGAATTGGGTTATGGTTTAAGCATTTAGGGACTACTGACAGCACCCAATTTGTATTTATTTTAAAGTATTTGCTCATTTTTTTTTATTTTCAGGGTATGATGTAAAGTTATTAGCAATTATATATCACCTACCAATACGTGTATTCTTCTAACCATTTCTGTACGGGCCATGCTGTAGCCTTTTCCTCATCAGACAAATGTTCATTCAAATCAACTTTAAACATCTCATTTAGGCGCCGCATAATAACCCCCGAGTCCTCTATCTTTATACCATCAATATCTATCCACGGAACAGTATTCTTTGGTCCTTTACACCAATCTTTAGAATCAAGCTAAGAAAGAATATAAATGTTCTTATTATACCTTTTATTAAATTAACTCTTCTTTAGCTATAAAATACTGCCGCAATCAATTACTTGTACTTCGATGTAAGAAAAACATGGACATATACGTATCATGTAAGTTTCTTTTTTCTTCTTTTTTTGGTCACTTTAAAATCAAACCAATGTAATTACGTACGAAAAAAGATACTTAATATTTGATGTTTTAAGTACTCAAAACATTTGTACAATAAAGTATGAAAAGGTCAGCAATTTGATACATTTAATGGTGCTTTTGGAGGAAACCTAATTATCCTCCATTTCACAGCCAATCTACATTCATGTTTAATTAGCAAATCACCGGTCTAATAGTTGGAAAAGCAAAAGTAAAACTGTTCATATGATTTAACATAATACGACATATTTTTTATGTAAACAGAATTGGACTTTTAGTTACATAGCAAATGAAAAATAATCATATACCCGTGCTCACGACCGTGCAACTATACTAGGTTCCAAACAAAGTGTGCCTTTTGTTATCGGCGATTTTCCATTGCCCATTATGCTTAATGTCCACGTATTTGGTACCAAAATCAAGATCAGAACATGTACATTATAATCGTGACTTTAAACTTTAAATTCCGGTGTCATTAGGACACGATTTTGTCTCGAGAATGGACTAGGTCCAAAAATTAAAGTTGCAAGACTATTCTGAAATTAGCAATTACCACAATTCATCATTTCATTCTGCTGAAATTGGAAATTCGATGGTAACTGTTGTCAGTATCAAGTGTGGCCACCTCGACTATTGATGCAAGCAGCAAGGCGACCTCGCATTGACCTTACGTAACGTCTTATATTGTCGTTGGGAATGTTATTCCATTCTTGAATTAAGGCGTTTTCCAGATCCCTAAGATTGTGTACGTTCCCTCTAGCTCGAACCTTTCTACCAAGATATGCCAGATGTGCTCAATCGGATTCATATCCGGTGACACGGCAGGCCAAGGTAGTATGTAATCGTTATTTCTATTTAGAAACTGTCGACATATCCGTGCAACATGAGGCCTTGCATTATCATGCATCAATATTGCAAGCCCATGCCTTTGAAGGAAAGGAACAGTTTAAGGCTGCAGAATCTGGTCAATGTAACCTTGAGCATTGAGGTTGCCTTGCCTTGTTTTCCTACTGCCCAGAATGCCACGCCATACCATAACACTCCTACCTCCAAGACGGTCCCTCTCAATGAGACAATTATCAGCAAAACGTCTCCCTCTTCTTCTAAAAATTTAAATTCGACCGTCATGATGACTAAGGTTTAACTTAGACTCATCCGAGAATAGAACCCGAGCCCACTGCTGTCGCCCTAACGGAAATGTCGTTGTGCCAACTGCAAACGGGTAGCCCGATGACGTGCTGTAAGCACTTGTCCCACATAGGGCCTCCTCGGCCGAATGGGTTGCCGGGCTTGCCTGAGGCGGCACAACACTGTCTGTTTGCTGATACCATACTGCCTTGCAGAACTTGTCGCCGTTTAAAAACGACGACAAAGGTGCGTCAGCGTAATGAACCTGTCAGTTCGAGGGTTTGTAACCCTCGGTCTACGTGGTCTACGGAGATATGCATCCCCACCTGTCTGCTGGAAACGCTGGTGCAACCTAAATATTGTGTTTCTGTGACAACCGAACGCTCTACTTACGTTGGAGACGTTTGTCGCCACGAGCAAGCATCGTTAATGCATGAATTCGCTGATTTTGATTCAGTTTAGGCATATTCAGTGACAAGCGCTGTGAAATCAAATGTGTTTTTCCCTATGACGTGGGTATAAGGATTATGTCTATACACATTTCCCGTGACATGTACCTTCGCCTCGGACTGCACGTGCAAATCAAGCTATTTTATGTATTGCCATATAAAGCGAAAATCACGTGCCACCACGGGATAAGTTTTATATTGGATCGATGTTTTGTGTACTTAGGACTAACAATGCCAAATTTGCAAAAGAAACGTCTGCTAATATTCTAAATATTCAACATTAAAAAGCGCACACTTTCTCTTGGAAGCGAGTATATTTTGACATGACGGTATTTGCGTTATAGACGTACTAATGTGTTTGTCACATCATGAGCAGATCAATGAAAACTTGTTTTTTTATTGTTAACAGTTCTTATTTTATGTGTGTGATGAAAAGAATATTAATACATGTACATGTAGGTTCATTACTAAATTTATTAAACTTGACGGATAAAATAATATTAAGTTCGGCAGACGCTCGCATAAAATAGAATTTTATTCAACTCGTTCATCAAATTCAGTATTGAACCTACACTCATTCAATATCTCCTATTCAGTTTTTGACTTACCTTATATGGAATTTTGCTGATCCTCATGTATGTTTCAAGCTTCATAGAAAATACGTCCACATTTGGAATAAGTTTAACACGTTGATAAGTATGAAGAACCACGTGATCTGTATTAATTTCCATTCCTGAACACCTATAATAAGAAAAACATTACAGTAATGAAGTGTGATGGATGTAAATTTATAGGAATTTGTATATGATGGTGTCTGTTATTTTAATTTAAAAATATCCTGTTAATAATTTGAATAGAAATTTTACCTTGGAAAAAAGCATAGGTAAAAGTTATGCAAACCATATCATAATGCATCACAAGTGGATGAAGCAGATTTATTACATAATCACATCTTCGCCGATATAAACATTATAATAATATCTTAAATATCACTAGTAGAAAATATTTAGAAAATATTAAAGTATTATTTTAAAGCCATGTTTTAGACAGGTTTTAAAGAGAAATGCAATTCATTTAAGATACACTTGTTGTTGGAAAGCTTGACCGCCATGTGCATATGAATACTGGTCGCTTTAAATAATGACAGCAAAAACATAACCCTCATCACCTTGTTCACCTTTCACAATCACGATTTTTATGTTAAATAAGTAAAAAATAGGTCTCATTTTAATATTGATTTTAGCTGTAGAATTTATCTTAAACTAGAAACAATAGACATTAAGTTGTAAAATCTAAAGCACTTACTGTTCGTCAAAATTCGTCTTGGCACACTTGCTATCACTGTATCCTAGATCTAACCCAGGGTAAAGGTGAGGTTTTTTCTCGTGTAGAGATGTCATCATCTTTTAATGATTATTTTGTATCAAAGTCTCAATAAAACAAAAAAATATATATATTATTTAAAGTGTAAAGTTGAATTACAATCTTTGATATATATCCTTTGTGGTTATAGCAAGCCGTATATATATACAACAACTCGTTGTGCTCTATCGGGCGTGAAAAGCCACGTCTATGAATGAATACGTATATAGCAGTAATGTGCGCGTGACTGGGAAAAAATGTATTTCAAAATATTGGAAAAATATGTTGTACAAATTGTCATATGCTGGTTCTAATAATATTCTAGGGAGTGGCATCAGTTACGTAGAGAGAAATGAGAGTGCCATCATATGAAGGAACATATAAAATAATTATTATGATGAATCAGAAAATCATTAATGGTGCACACCACTTTATGGAAAAGTAGGATTCTTTCTGATAGGAAAATAGTGTTTGCAAGTTTGATGCGAGGGATCACTTTGTTATGCTCCCCGAAAAATTTCGGGGGAGCATATAATCGCCGCCTTGTCCGTCCGTCTTTCCGTCCGTTCGTCCGTCCGCTTTTCTTTTCCGGGACATAACTTTGAAACAACAAGAGGTATCAACATGAAACTTTGTAGGTACATAGATCTCATTAAGTAGGTTTGCACTACACAAGAACCGTAACTCTGCCTTGCCTAATTTTTTAATTATTCCCCTTTGTTTATTTTTACACTTTGAACTTTGTCCAGAACATTACTCTAAAAGTATAAGAGGTATCAACATGAAACTTTGTAGGTAGATAGATCTCATTGAGTAGGTGTGCAGTGCACGGTAACCGTAACTCTGCCTTGCCTTATTTTTGAATTATCCCCCTTTGTTTATTTTACACTTTGAACTTGTCCGGGACATAACTCTAAAAGTATAAGAGGTATCAACATGAAACTTTGTAGGTAGATAGATCTCCTTTGGTAGGTGTGCAGTGTACAAGAACCGTAACTCTGCCTTGCCTAATTCAGAATTATCCCCCTTTGTTTATTTGTAATCTTTGAACTTTGTCCGGGACATAACTCTTAATGTATAAGAGGTATCAACATGAAACCTATTAGGTAGATAGATCTCTTTGAGTAAGTGTGCAGTGCACAAGAACTGTAACTCTGTCTTGCCTAATTCTTGAATTATCCCCCTTTGTTTATTTTACACTTTGAACTTTGTCTGGGATATAACTCTAAAACTATAAGTGGTATCAACATGAAACTTTGTAGGTAGATAGATCTCATTGAGTAAGTGTGCATTGCACAAGAACCGTTAGTCTGTCTTTCCTAATTTTTGAATTATTCCCCTTTGTTTATTTTTACACTTTGAACTTTGTTCAGGACATAACTCTAAAACTATTAGAGATATCAACATCAAACTTTGTAGGTAGATAGATCTCATTGAATAGGTGTGCAGTGCACAAGAACCGTAACTCTGCCTTGCCTATTTTTTAAATTATTCCCCTTTGTTTATTTTCACACTTTGAACTTTGTCCAGGGCATAACTTTAAAATTATAAGAGGTATGAACATGAAACGTTGTAGGTAGATAGATCTCATTAAGTAGGTTTGCAGTGCACACGAACTGTAACACTGTCTTGCCTACTATTGGAGTTATTGCCCTTTGTTCATTTTGACACTTTGAACTTTGTCCGGAAAATTACTCTAAAATTATAAGAGATATCAACATGAAACTTTATAGATGGATAGGTCTTATTGGGTAGAAGTGCAGTGCTTAAGAATCTTTACTCTGCCTTGCCTTATTTTGAAGTGATTGCCCTTTGTTCATTTTTACTTTTTGACTTTTGTCCGGGACATAACTTTAAAACTTTTAAAGATATCAACATGAAACTTTGTAGGTAGCTAGATATCATTGAATAGAACTGAAATGCTTAAGAACCTAAACAAAGCCTGGTCTAATTTTGGAGTTATTGCCCTTTGTTCATTTTCACACTTTGAATTTTACCCGGGACATAACTCTGAAACTATAAGAGATATCATCAGGAAACTTTATAGATAGATAGATCTCATTGAATAGAAGTGCAGTGCAAAAAAAACATAACTCCGCCTTGCCTAATTTTGGAGTTTTTGCCCTTTGTTTATTTTTTTTATACTTTCCTGTGTCCAGAACCTTCTCGGGGAGCCTCACCCGGTTCAACCGGTTCTTGTTTCAAGATTTTTGTAATTCACAACAGAAGGTGTCAAGTGCCGTGTGGCAGCTGTAAAATTGCCCTATACTTCACTTTAGTGTTGTTATATTTTTCTTGTCCTTCGGGATCATTGATGCATGCATTAAGTGTTGAGACTTGAATACCGCTCAGGCCGGGGATAGTGGGCGTGAAGGATGCTGCACTTATTTATTATCCCTCATGTACAGACCCAATCAAAACGTGTCTGCAACCATGTTTTATGTAATTTTGTTGAAGTTAATGCTTCCAAGGGATCACTCTGTTTCCAGATATTTATATAAGTTAATAATGTTACCATTGGAATAAAAATATATTATGATTATAACATAGTATCTTTTGGAACTGTGTACATTTTCTAAATACCATAAAAATGAAATATTTAACAATAAAGACTACCGAAAAAAGTTAAAATATGTTTGTACGAAGATTTCACATTCCTGACACAAATCTGTGTAAAGAAAACGACAACCTCCGTTACATTACATTAGAACTCGTTATCATCGGTTTGCGAGCAAACAAACACACTGGTCTAGATCACTAAGTCCTGATGCAACTGCAGATGATGTATCTATGGTGAATGTAGGTAGGTGTGTACTCAAATATAACAATGCACTCTCAATCTAGGCTTTTAAGCATATTGTCTTTTTAACATTATAATCACTTTCGAGTACATATCATAGACTGACCATAATTGCTAATGAGTAATAATTTGTCGGCTATTCTTTATCATTCAATTTAAAACGGTAATTTCAGCACAAGTTAGGAATTTCTGGTTGGCTTCTGTGAGTCCGCAGAACAGGAAATGGTATCATGCTCAGAGGGTCTGATTCTGTGTCCATTAATAGTAAGTGTCTGTCTGTTAGGAATACTGTGTTATTTTAGCATAGCAGAATAATTAAAAAGCCTCCCTTGCCATAGGGGTGAGGATAGGGATTAAACATCATAGAGATGAGGATAGGGATTACATATCATAGAGGTTAGGATGGGGATTAAATATCATAGGGGTGATTATGGGGATTAAATATCATAGGGGTGAGGATAGGGATTAAATATCATAGAGGTGAGGATGGGGATTAAATATCATAGGGGTGATTATGGGGATTAAATATCATATGGATGAGGATGGAGATTAAATATCATAGAGATGAGGATGGGGATTAAATATCATAGAGGTGAGGATGGGGATTAAATATCAAAGAGATGAGGATAGGGATTACATATCATAGAGGTGAGGATGGGGATTAAATATCATAGAGGTGAGGATGGGGTTTAAATATCATAGAAGTGAGGATGGGGATTAAATATCAAATAGATGAGGATAGGGATTACATATCATAGAGGTGAGGATGGGGATTAAATATCATAGAGGTGAGGATGGGGATTAAATATCATAGAGGTGAGGATGGGGATTAAATATCAAAGAGATGAGGATATGGATTACATATCATAGAGGTGAGGATGGGGATTAAATATCATAGGGGTGATGATGGGGATTAAATATCATAGGGGTGAGGATGAAGATTAAATATCATAGAGGTGAGGATGGGGATTAAATATCATAGAGGTTGGGATGGGGATTAAATATCATAGAGGTGAGAACGGGGATTAATTATCATAGGGGTGAGGATAGGGATTAAATATCATAGGGGTGACCATGAGGATTGAATATCAAAGGGGTGAGGATGGGGATTAAATATAGTAGGATACATATGTCAGGGGGTTGGTGGTATATTTGGCTCAAGTGTAAGCGGCTGATTTTCATTGCAAGCATTTGTCGAATTGCTCGACCTTTTATCTATATCTGACGTCATCCCTGAACAGATAAATTGCTGACGAACCCATTGCGTAGTTCTTTTCTTTTTTACAAGAATTGTTTATGTCAGTGTACATTTCCTGTCTGCATTTAATATGAACTTTTTTCAATGTTACCTTCTATTTTTTTTAATAATCTCTTCCTTAATCCCAGATCTCTTCAAATTTTACTTCAAAATTAAAGGTGATTATCGCATTGATTTGACCTAAATTATGTTCAATCTTGTTATTCATCACATATAAAATCCATATTAGGTTTTGTTATATTGTTATAGACAAGGTATCCAGCATTTTTAAACTATAACGTTTTACTTTCGGGCATTACTGTGGTAACTTGCGTGTAAATGAGGATCTGTAAATAGTCATTTTTGATAAAACAATATATATTGCATTGCTTCCATGCGATTATCTGTCGATATTTCCACCCGGTGGAAACTTTTGACACCAAGAACGGACATACGCATAATTTTCGTACTTTATACCTTGTTGTATACATTGTCTATAACACTATTATTTGGGATTAATGAATACTAATTTGGTCAAATCGATCTGACTAACAGCTTTGTTAATAATTTGGTATTCCGTTTAATAATTTGTATACGTATGTCTTCTAGCTCAATATATTGTGGGCCCATTTCTTTGCATTTAGCAAAAGTGTAATATTCCATTTGATTTTATCTTTTTTTTATGCATCTGAATTTGAACCATTAAGGTGCAGGGGTATACTTTTATTATAATCCTGTTTACAATTTAAAAAAAAAGCATAATTTACATTTCAAATTTTAGTAAACTGGCATGAAATGGAAGAGAACAGAAAAATTCAAAACTTAATATAATAGTAATTACTAAAAACAATTTGTCCAAGTAAAGATACTGATTTTCCGACTTCTGAGCTATGAAATGTTTGATATGAAACATCTCAGCATTTTTTACTTAATATACAATGTAATATAAGTTAGATTACTCAACGCAAAAATTATATCTTACAGCCTTTAAATTAAATGTATTTTGACTTTTCGAGCAGAGGGAATAGGAAACATATACATATATTAAATTAATATAAAAATCATAGTTTAACATAAAAAGTAAGGTATTGAAGGATTGCTTTAAAATTT